TACCTCGATAGGGCCTAATATACGATATAGGTCTACACAGACTATAACAACCTCCGTAGTATTACTAAGGTTACTAGAGTTATAGGTCGATAGGCTAGATAGGCCGTCTATCTCGCTAGGTTTGATTTTAATATATTATATCGGCTAGGCGTAAGCAACCCTACTAATAGCCTATCGAGGCGACCTAATTACGATAGCGGGACTTAGCAATCTATTAATTTATTGTTTCTAACCCTGCAGTATAAGATTGCTATAGCCCGTATTGTTAATAAGTACGCGTAGGATAAGCGGCTTACTAGACTCCGCGACGGCTTAAAGCATATTAATGCTCTTGCTATATTAATAGTGCATATTAAGGTAAGGGCTAAGGACATAGATAGGAGAAGTTATAATAACTCCCTAGTCGATATCGCAATATATAGTAACAGCGATAGTACTAATGCAGTTAATCCGGCTACTAGTGCTATTAGATATATACAATGCGTACCTCGTTTAATAGCGAGGGTGCTATTAAATAACCTTACAAATAGGGATAGTTAATCGTTTATAGATAAGCTATTACGGGCTTAGCAGAGGGACGCCTTTGCTACTAAACGTATAGACAAGCTTGTAAGTAGGCGAAAGACTCGATCTAGTAAGAGTAATAACTAGTCGATCGATAACAAAGGTCATTTAAAGTTTAAGGGTAGATACTATGTCCCCGCTAAACATTCGATCCGATAAGAACTTCTTAAGCGATACTATAATAGCGAGCTTGCCGGTTACTATAGTATAGAGAGGTCGCACGAGCTACTATCGCGTACATACTACTAGCTAAATAGTAAGCGGGATATAAAGGAATACGTTAATACGTGTGCCGTATATTAACGTATTAAGGCACTAAAATATTAGCCTTTTAGCGAGTTGTCCTTATTACTAATCCCTTATAAGCTATTTATAGAGCTTATAATAGACTTTATTACAGGCCTTCTACCTGCTAAACGTAGGGGCAGTAAGGACATCTTCGATGCTATCCTTATTGTAGTAGATCGGTTTACTAAAGGCGCTCGATACATCCCGGTACGGAAGGATTGGACTGCTATCGACATAGTAGAGGCTCTATAGAGCAACATCTTCTATACCTATTAGGGGACCCCTAAGGGGATAGTCTCTAACCGGGGCACGACATTTACATCCTATTATTAGAGCGAGATATGCCTATAGCTAAGACTAAAGCATCGGCTATTAACAGCCTTCTATCTATAGACTAACGGTTAAACAGAGAGGCAGAATACTACCCTATAGCAGTACCTGCGTAGCTATATTAATAAGAACCCTAATAACTAGGTCAATCTCCTATAACTAGCCGAATTCGTATACAATAATAGTATCTACTTATCTACTAAGGTGTTACCTTATTTCGCTATAATAGGAAGCAACCCTACGCTACTATAAGACCTATTTACCTCGCTCGAGGCCGAGCGCAAGGAAAGGGAAGCGTATTAAGTACTAACACCTAAGACACTAGCGGCTATTAAGAGAGTTCAAAAGATGCGAGAGATTTACGCTAAGATAGCTAACAAACTAGCAAAAGCCTAGGCCTATTAGAAGGCCTATTACGACAAACACTACACACCGATAACCTTTAAGCAAGGCGACATAGTTATACTAAGCACTAAGAACCTCCGCATCCGTAAGCACCTATTACCTAACGGCAAAACAAGGCCTAAGCTCGCACTAAGATACATTAGTCTATTCCGCATTCGAGAAGTTAAGGGCTCCTCCGTATAGGCCTATTAGTTGTAGCTTCCTCCTTATTATACTATCTATAATACCTTCTATGTATCCCTCCTTAAGCTATATTACCTACGCGAGGGGGATAAAGCCCCTACTAAACACGAAGACATACTAGCGGATAGTAAAGAGCTATAGTCTATAGAACGTATCCTATAGCACCGGACTAGGAAAGGTAAGAAGGAATACCTGTTAAGATAGCAAGGCTATTTACTAGAATAGGACTTATAGGAAGCTAAAGATTCCTTTAAGGATATAGCTAAGTTGTTAAACGAGTATTAGACTAGCGTAAAGAACAAGAAGAAGGCTAAAAGCTCGTAATGTTACTAAGGCTTAGGAACAATACTATCCCTAGGGTGCTATTAGATAACTAATTAGAGGCCGGCAGACTAGGACAATAAGACTATACTACTATAGTAAACGCGCACCGAGTGTTAACAAGCGCGCTACGACGCGTTAACTAATTGCCTACTCTTTTAAGGGCTCTACCTCTTTACTAACGCGCCCTATAGGTCCCCCTCTTGTTCCCTTATTCTATCGAGGCCTCGAGGCCTAGGCAATCGGCGAGGACGGCGTAGCTAGCGCGGCTATATTAGTAACGGTATTATAGAGTATATTGTTAGTCGAAGAAGGAAATCGAAAGCAAAGTAAAGTTAGCGCTAAGACGACTAGCGCCGCTATTATTAACATTACTTGCTATTATCGCTACGCCTACAGATACAACCTTACCTGCACTACGAGCCTAAGGCACCTTAATCAAACTTTAATCAAAACTTTAATTAAAACTTTAAGCCGCTTAAAAGATTAAGCGACTAATAGACTAGCTAACTAAGGGCAAAACTATAGAGCTAAGCTAGCCGGGGTCGATCTTGTAAATAATAGGTTACTCCTCGATCTATCTAACCCTTTAAGCGAGGCGAACCTCTACTACTATACTTATAATAGCCTTTACTTATAGAAACTAGACGAGCTGTGTTTTTAAAAAGATAAGATAAGATTAATACTTAAAGGCTACTAAACCTAGCTAATTAGGGCTAGCGAGACTACGAATAATAAGAATAATAACCCTCGGAAGCGAACAAACCCTCGGAAGCGGACATTGCTAGGTCTTTTAAGAGTAGACGCAAAGAACTCGGTACGATATTACTTAGAGCGGAGGCAGGGCTGCAATACCTCGTACGTCTACCTATTATAGTAGGGAAGACGCGCTCGTATTGTAATTAGTCGAAGGCCCTCAATTCTTATAGATACATATTACTTTATAGTTTATTATATATAGGGATAGCGCAGTTAGAAGTTAGACATTGTGTTAGAAGGTAAGGTTTAACATAGTTACATAATTAGGTAGTTAAGTGTTCAATTTAGCGCGGGCTAAGCAGCTTATTAGACTTGCTAAGTTAGCGGCAATAGAGGTCGTAGAATATAGATAGGCTACGAGGGCGCGGCCTTTAGAAGGGAAGCGTGTATTAGAGCTAAAGAGGTTATACGTGATTAGCATGTAATTAGGCCTAGTAAAGCTAGGGTCTTAGTGCCTTAGGTAGGGCTTAGCGCTTAGCGTTAGGCTAACTCTCCTACCTTCCTCCCTCTCCTCTTAGATCCTTATCGAATACTACTTGTACCTACCACTACCCTATCTACCTGCTAACATACCCTTCTTATAGTATTTAATAAGTAGTGCTAGGTTATTAACTATATATATGCTAGTACCTAAGTCTACGACCTAATCGGTAGTACGAGTAGTAGCTACGAGAGCAGAAGCGGCAGCGTTACTAACAGTAACTGCGTTAAACGAGTATTATAGTAATAGCGTGTTTATATAGGAGTTGTTATAGATATATAGGCCCTACGTACCTTGTAGGCCTAGCGGCGGAGGTAGTTGCTATTACTAAGCAGCTAGTCTATGCCGCTATTAGTGCTACTATTGCTATTGCTATACCCCCTTCTTCTTAGCCTTCTCGCGCTCTTAGCGGAGCCGGTCTTCCTCCTTTAGATAAGAGTACTTAGTATAGTAGCGATTAGATAGATAAGTGCCCTCGTAATAGGTACACTTTAGACAGGCTTATTAACTATTCTAGTTGTTTCTACCGCGGCCTCGACTAGTAGAATTGCCGCGGCCTCTACGGTTGTTGCCTTTGTTGCCTCGAGGCGCGTTATTGTTGTTACTAGCAGGTGCTAGTTGCTGTTAGCTATAGTATCTATTATACTAGGCCTAATTAACTTAAGCAACGTTCTTATTAAGCAACGCGCTAATTATGTTATCTAGTGTATTACTATTAACTGCGAAGTTAGTAGCACGGATATGCTCTCGCCGTATCTAAGCGAATGCCTTATAGAATAGGCTAATTAGTATAATAAAGAAGTAGATAGCCTAATAGTCGCTAATAGCTAACTTAGTAGTACTTAGCGCACCTAACTTCTTCTTATAGTTATTATAGAACTTCTCGAGGTCCTTGCTCTCGTACCGGAGGGTAATATATTCCTAGAACTGTATAAATTTAGTAGACCTACCGTTACTAGTATATTTCTTTTTAAGGAAGTCCTATACCTCCTTCGAAGTAGATAGATTAAGTAGCGATTATTAAATATTACTAATATAGTTAGCGAATATCTAGGTACGTACTAACTAATCTTTAGCGTCCTATTTATCTTAGCGGTCTTTAAACTCCTTAGGCGTCTTATTAGAAGCCTTAACAAGGGGTCGCTAGCAGGTGCCTTATATATAGCGCTAGACCGACATACCTTTAAGAGCGCCTTTAGCGGCATACGACTATAATAGGTAATTTTCCTTATTCTTTAGCTTTAGAATATTGCTAATATAGGTGCTAGCGACAGCGCTAGTTAAAGATAGTGCTATTGCGGACAGCGATAGCGATAGTAAAAACAAGATACAAACTATATATTAGATATAGCGGATAGCCGATATAATATTAAATATTAGTATAGCCGTATAGGCGACGCGGTATTAGTTGTTTGCTAGAAACTAGGGTATTTGCTAGCAGGTAGTAGTAGTAGCGACGGCGACAACGATATATTAGTAGCGGCGCGATTTTTAATAATAATACTAGCTACGTAGTAGTCGATAGAGTAACTATTAGAAGTATATAGAATGCGTATTAGAAACGTAAGGGGCTTATAACTACTTGAATGCTGAAACTGATGTTAATGTAAGGACTATCTAGCTATCGAGGCGAGAAGTCCTAAAGAAGCAAGTTGCAGCCTCAGGCACCATGCACGTGATAGACCCTGAGACCCTGAAAGGTGGGTGACAACCACCCACTTCAAGTGACAGTCCCTTCAGCATTGCAGCACACGCTCACCAACAAGTTCAGAGTCATCATCCAATCGACGCAAGAGAACAGAATAGCAAAGGGGGGCCGTGACAGGGAACAGCACGTCCGTCGCGACCGCCACGTATTTCCTCATTTGCTGCTGCAGAGCAGACCGAAGAGAATCCGGTCCGTATTTGTGCTACACGTCTTGGCGTCGCAGAACATCCATCATACAGCACAGGCTGGCTTGGCCTTCCTGGGACAGGACCTCGGAAAGAGGGTGGGCACGAGTCCGCGAGCACCAAGGACTGGAAACAGGAAGGTGCCCACGAGCTGCCCAACCCGCCGGTGAACTTGAGAAGCCAAAGGAACTTGAACTTCACGACAACACATCCCGGAACTTGAGGTTCCCGCGCGACAAATCAGGGCCCATGAGATGCGACACTACTGGAACTGGTATAAGGCTATCACCTCATAGCAATCAAATGCAGGTAGACACCAGGCGCTTGCAGGAACCGGGTGCTGGTAGACTACTAGTGGTCTAGGCCAGGATGTTGTCAAACGAGCAGACTGGAGAGGGCGCCGTTTGAGGACTGCTTCCGGTCTGCTACTGGTCGAATCGTCAGGACGGCAAGGATAGAGTGTAAGTATAAGGACTTGCCTTCATCCTCCAATGCGTGAATACCGCCCATAGCATCTTAAGCTTCTAGGTGCCTGTGCACCTTATTGCTGCCAGCATGACATTCTCTTCCCTCGTTTCGTTCAGCTTCATTCTTAGCTCGATTATCTCCACAGCACATGGCGCACCTAATGCAGATGCAACAGCCGCCTGCGGAGCGCTTCAAGCACAGTATCCCAAGCAGGTCGCCGGCAGTGCGTTTGACCTGAATCTTACGCTCGCCTTCGATTACACCCAGACTCGGACCGATTATTGGTCTCTCGCAAACGCAGATGTCAAGCCGGCATGTATATTCTTTCCTGGAGCTGCAGACGAGATAGCATTTGCCGTCAAGACGCTGAACAACTATCCAAACGCGCCATGGGCAGTGAAGGGAGGAGGCCACAACGCAAATATCGGCTATTCAAGCACCCAGGATGGTGTACTGATCGCAACGAAGGAGAATATGGCGTATACCAAATATGATCCAGACACTCAGCTTGCCCATGTTGGACCAGGAAACCGATGGATCGATGTTGCCAATGCCCTCGACCCGTACAATAGAGCCGTGGTGTCGGGACGACTAGGTGTAGTCGGAGCTGCAGGCTTGACGCTTGGAGGTGGTCTTTCATTTCTCAGTACAGAATATGTATGGCTGTTTACTATCAAACATTAGGACCAAAGACTGATGACCTTACAGGGCATGACAGCAGACAATGTCGTCGAATACAAAGTCGTCACCGCAGCAGGCGAAATGACCACAGCCTCCCAAACCCAAAACACCGACCTCTTCTACGCCCTCAAAGGCGGCGGAAACCAATTCGCCATCGTAACAGAATACATCATGAAAACCTATCCAATCGGCCAAGTCTGGGGCGGCCACAAAATTTACACAATAGACAAAAAATCCGCCCTCCTAAACGCCACCCACAACCTCGTTTCCAACTACTCCGACCCCAAAGCCGCCATAATTATGAGCTTCTCCTCCACAATCGACACTTTAGTCGACATCTTCGTAGTATTCTACTTCTACAACGGTCCCGAAATGGGTTCCATCCTAGCCGAATTCGACGCAATCCCAGCCTTAATCGACGCCACAAAACCCAACAGAAAATACAAAGACCTCATAGACTCCAACTCGGCATTCTCAGTCGACGGATTGCGTTTCTTGATCCGAACCGGAACCCTTCCTAACCTCCCCGGTGACCAAGGCATAGATCTCTACAACAACTGTTTCGACACCTGGTACTCGCTGGGGAAAAAATCCCAATTGGGAGAACTGGACAACTACGTCTTTTCCCTAGCTTTCCAACCCGTGCCCCATCAACTCGCTCAAGCTTCGATTTCAAGCCCCTACTCCGTCAACTTGTTGGGCCTTGATCCGAAATTGGGAGATAAAGTTTTCATGGAATACAATGTCGCCTGGCTTTCTTCTGGCACGGATGAGAAGGCTGCGGCGGCCATTACCGCGCAGACACAGCCGGTACAGGATTATCGAAAAGAGAAATATGCAGGTGTCAAGCCGACGAATTATCAGAGTGGGGACTTGGAATTTGCCGCGAGTCGACCGCTTTTCATGAATGATGCCATGTTTAATCAGGATCCGCTCAAGAGTTACCCGGATGATGTTTATGCGAGACTGAAGCAGATTCAGAGTCAGAGGGATCCGGATGGATTTTTTGCGAAGAGGACGGGTGGGTTTAAGTTTGAGTGAGAGTGATACGGTATGTACATACAGAGGTGTGGGATGTGAGCGAATGCTTGTGGTACAGTGAACGGTTCTGCTTCCCTTGACTCATCTCAATCTATTGGATCTGGGATGCAGGCAGTGATTATGGTACAACGAGTGACTCCATCTCCGTTCCCATATCCATATCCATATCCTTTTGAATTCATCGTCCTGCTTTCATTCCGTCCAGCGAGACTACGGCTCCCTGGTCCTGAACTTATGTTTTCGACCACCAGCGTCGTTCAAAGAGAGACCGATCCTTAGTGGGAGCGGGAGGATTCAGATGACCCAGATTCGCCGGCATTGGCTTTAATGTCGCGTGTACTTGCAGGAACTACAAGTGTCCTCCTGTCGGCCATGTGTGATGACGGGCTGGTAATCCTCGAATCCGTCCTCCGGGTTGTTCCGACGATAGTCGTAGTGGATGTAGTCGAAGCCCACAGCCCAGTGCGTTTTGATCTCCACAACCTTGGGCAAAGATTGAAGTATCATCCGATAAATTTCAAGAGGCCCCCTAATGGAATCTAGTATATTTCGAGGAATCTCGCATTGGCAGTCCGCGTTCGACACCTAGTGCTCACAGCAGTCGACTGTCATGCTGATGGAGAGTATGCCGGCATTCGAGAGTCTCTTGACGGCGTGGTGGATGTCTTCTGACGATGGTCTCGAGTTCTCTAGCTTGGTGTCGCCTTTGAGTCTGGAAAAATTCAAGATCAATTCGTCGTTTCGACGATGGGCTTTGACCGTTATTTTTATGTAGGCTTGAGATTTGCGGTTGGATCTGTTGATACGCAGATCATACCATTTCTTGCACACCAGGAGAAAGCCGGGCTGTCCTTTGATGTTGTCTGATCGAGAGCGGTTCTTGTTGATATTGAGAATTTCTGATACGAGTTCAGGCGGCAATTTTTCGTATTGGAATAGCTCAGCCGAGGGAGCTGGCGGAGCATTTTTGAATCGTTGCATGTCGCTTTCTGCGAGGCCGAGCGAAGTGGTGAAGTTGCTCTTGACGAGAATGTGTAATGATGTCGAAAGAAGCGCTTATGCGAGGGTCGATATCGCTGCTATGGGATATTGCTCTGCGATGTTACTGACTCTCGGATGTTGTCGATATTGTGTGTATGTAGTTTCTCGACAGAAGAAATGAAGATGAGCGAAGTAAGTGGTCCATGGGCTCAGTACTTCCTCCTTCCGTGCCGTGCACACGAAGCTGCCTCTAATGCCTGCAAGTTGCCATGTACAAGGCGAAAGGTTTCGCGTAAGAAGGTGAAGTTTGGCTCGAGATGGCAAGTCCAGTCACGACTTGCAATTTCGGAACAAGAAAATATGGCTTGAACTCACTTCGCACTTTTGATCTTGTGGTTTCAATAATTGAATGCACAGATTGCTATCCGGAGCTGCCGCATACCAAAGTAGGTCAACCTTCCGAGGCTCAGGCTATTACTTCCAATATGGCAGACGTGATACCGAGAGCGTTACATATTTTGATGCTGTTGCTTCTATGCCTGCTCTCGGAGAGTCCGTGCTTGTTCTTGCTCCCCGAGAAGCGAATTGAGCTCCCACCGTAACTTCTCATCACTCGTCACCCGTCAAACGATTTGTCCACTTCATCTTGAGTGTGTGGATGGTACATCAGCCACCTCGCGATATTGTCCAAATCTTGGAGACGCAAACCGGATTGGCCTTGTTGTGCACCTGGTTGCATCCTTCGAAGCATATCCCGAATCTTCACAACCCACAGCTTAAGCAGACCACCGTTCAAAATTGTGTTCTTTCCCGTGATCGGATCAAGCAGCGATGCACCAACATCGAGGCGCTCCATGGGTCCTTCAACACTTTCGCCATCCGAGTCTTCCATTTCTTGACGGATCACATCGATGCACATCCTTGCAAGCACACGGAATGGGGTACCAATCTCGAAACATACCGAACCGAACTCGAGTGCGTCGCCATATGACTCAAGATAGCGACGTTTCTCGCCGCTGAGACGCATTTCTCCGCATCCCGCGAGGCGGTCAGGTTCGAGGAAGAATTTTTGAGTGACTGCATCGTAGTTGATCCATACTCTGGCCACGAAAGTGGCGTGGCGCAGATAGCCCTCGAATATCTCTTCGGCAATGGGAGGATACTGGTGACATGGTGGCGGAGGGTTGAGATCTTTGAGTGGAATGACCAGGGTCTCAAACGCTGTTCGATAGTGCTTCTCTCGTATGATGGGGCTCAATGCGGCCAGGTCGAAGCTGCGATCAACGCCGCTGTCTTCCCTGTCACGCGCAGGTGGTGTGGCCTCGGGATTGGCATCGGTGGCTGCACGTGGTGTTGGCGATGACGGCAAATAGTCGTCGGCGTCAGGAACAGAAGGCGCATCTACGTCCATTGCGGATGTGAGCGGTGATTCCTGCGATGTACGTGATGTCGGCGATTCGGGGAGGTCGAAGCTCGTGTGATGCTGCAAGATATCAAGTGAGTCTTGGAGGGGCACTGGCATGTTGCGCGGGCTTCGAGGTGAGTATGCCGGCGACGAGGACTGTCGCTTGAGAGGCGGGCCCTCAGCTTCGCTCGCAGGAAGTCCCCGTTTTATGCGCATGCTGTGACTGCCGTGGTGCGTGGTTGGCGGTGTCTCAGACGGAAGCATCGAAGCTATTGCGGAGCTTTTGAGACGCAGCAGCGATTGCTGGCGGCAGCTTTGTTCCCGCAGATGCAGATGCAGCGATCCGCACGTGAAGCGTAGATTCTGTTTGGCACTATGGGTTTGCGGCGATATGAAAGGGCGCAAGTCGTCAAGTCTAGTCCGTTCCGTGCTCCCGATGTTGTTGTCTATGAAGCCATGCCCACGTGCAGCTCCTTCCTGCTATCGTGCTTCTACCACGCTGCCACTCCATCTGTCCAGCCGCAGACAACGGGCTAATGTGATGCACCTTTTCGCTACCATGTCTTTGCTTGCAAGATGCCAAAGGCTGCGGCTGCCCGCCAGACCCTCTTCACTGTCCTCATTCCGTATCCTGCTCCGCGAAGGATTGTTGCTGGCGACAGCGTGCAGCTGCTACACGTCTCCATCGAACGTGTTGTATTGATGTCAACGAGCCACTCTTCTTCTCCAAGCTCTTGCAGATGGCAAGCAACGTGATGAAAAAGGGTGAAAGATCACGCAGGTTGTCAAAAATTCCTCGCCGATCCGAAGACCAACGAGAGCGGTCAGTTGATAGTTTTCAACTAGCAAAAACGCAATCTCGGACGAATCCTCACTGATATGCGTAATGCCCTACGCAAATGTCAGCACGATGGTCGATGTTGTGGAAGTGTGAGGGTGGCTTTGCTTACCGTGCACTCGGATGGAGAAGAAGAGGAGAAGAGAAGGAGTCGCGCGCGCCGAGATTCTTATACTGCTCACTAGCGCGTGATACGCTCTGTCCCGCGTGCTGGTGGCTGTCACTTGAGTCAGTTCAGATTTGATGGCCCGCAGCAGTGAGTGATGAGCTGTGCACGTCGCAGCGTCGACTGTCTCTGCACCAGGTCTTGCTTCGTCAACACCCATATCAGATAGCTTACATTATCATTTCTCATGTAGTGGAGCCTCAGAAAACTGCCTCGTATGTGCCCGCGTAGATGCACTGGAGAAATGCCAAGCCCATGTGATTGACACCTGAGGCTCTTCGGGGACACCCGCGTCGCGAAAGTCTCACCAACGACAGCGGTAGAGCGTTGATGTCAAGCACAGCACAGCACAGCACAGCAAGCCAATTCTTGAAGGCCTTCCGGGCGACTTTGAGTCGCATCGCTGCCAAGATGAACAACCCGTAAGCGACTCGTATCGCATGCCTCCACCGCCACCGCGACACTAACGCATCCTCGCAGCTCACAAGGAGTCGCGCCGCAGCTCCAACCGCACCTCCACTTATGTTCGCAGCACCGTTTCCCCGTCGTGCAGTCGCTCGACCTTCAGCAAGCCTTCCGATACCTCATTGATGCGCCGGCGATCGTCAAGCATCATGCGTCCATGGCATGGGAGTATCTGTCTGCGCCGAACGATGGACGAGTGTGGCTGGAATGGATCCCGCGCGAGAAGAACGACTATCCCTATCCTTCAGATGGCTACGTTTGGGGAGACATGGAGCAGTCATACCGACAAGACTTCAATGGCTATACTCTTGAGTTGAAAGTGCAAGGCATCGGATACCGCCCCGGTCACGACCAGATGGCCACACATGCGCGCACGCGATATCACTTCGTCGGCAAGAATCCGTCAGTGAATGCGCCGATGCCAGATGACACCTTATGGCTCGTGCACTATCACCAGGCCGCACAACATCAGATCATGCCGGCTGCTCAGGTGCCAGTCAGCCCGCAGATGCAGCAAATCATTTCCCAGCGAAGATGGTTGGAAAGCCAAGGTCGCCTTGATCGCAGGGACTTTATGCTGCACGATCGCGAACACTGGCCGATCATCAATATCCCAGGACACGGCCCATCGCAGCAACAGGGACAATACGCAGCGCAACAAGCAGCACAGAACAGGCCATACGGAGCATACCCCCAGCAAGCTGGTCAGCCTCCTTCGAAGAGACCGCGAACGCAGGGGCCGGGCGCGTTGCCAGGATCGAGTGACGGCATGCCAGATACGAGCATAGAGGCCGAAGAAGATACTGCACTTGGCGATTACTTCGATCACCTCACACAGCGCGATATCAGCCTTGCGAGATACACCCAACACCACAGATGGATGGAAGAGGTCTTCTCTTCGCCGTACGCCTCGAGCAACATCGTTCCTCCTGATCTTGGCCTCGGGCTGATGGGCGAGCTGAAGGGCCTGACGGATGGCATTCTTCAGCCACCCAATATGGAAGTGAGAGATGTTGCCGAAAGGCCTGCCAAGGCGAAAGAACCAGCTCCTTTCACGAATTTGAAGAAGGAGCAGGTGGACGAGTTTAGCAAGCGAGTAGCGAAACATCTCGAGGAAGGTCAAGCTGAAATTGAGCGGATGAAGGCGGAACATGCAGCAAAGATGCAAGATTGGAAAAAGGTGAAAGCACTGACTCGGGCGGAAAAGAGATTGAGATTTGCCAGTTGGGAGGTGCACGAAGACCAGCCGATTACTGTCTTCCGTCTCGAGGCCGATCCTGCTGTGAACGGGAATACTGATGAAGGACTTGGCAAGGAGAATGTGGAAGATGTGATCAAGGATGTGGAGAGTCTTCTCAAGGTGAATATCAAAGGCCATCCAGATGCGACTCGCATCTGCAAAGGTGGACTAAAGGATAGGAAGCCGCTTGTCTTCAACTACGACCAGCAAGCAGATCAGCAAGACACGACTTCCGAGGCCATGGCCGATGTGCAGCAACAACAATCTACGTCGACGCCAGGCGCAAACGGGACGGTAGGTGGCGAGACTGCCACATACCATGAAGATCCAACCTCAAACGCTCAAACACCTGCCGACCAGGATATCAAAGCTGCACCGGCAGCACAGACATCTTACCAGCATGGTGCCACACTGCAAACGCCCAGTCACTCCGCTACGCCTCAAAACGACAGCGATAATAACACCGCGGGAGAAGCGTTGGAGGATATACCCGGAATGGACATGAATGACATGGTCATAGACGGCATGGACATGGATGTGGACCAATCAAATATTGATTTTGGTGATACTCCCAGTCAGGACCTCGCTGCTAACGATGGTGGTGCTTCGGGGCTGGATCTCACAGGAGCTGAAACTTCGAACACGGCGGCTGCTGCTGCTGCTGCTGCTACCGCAGCTCAAGCCGGGCCGAGTACAGCACCGGTTCAGCAACCTCCTGCGGAAGATCGACCTGTGGAAAGCGGCATGGGCGGCATGGAAGGTGATTTTAACGACACTTTCGGAGACATCCTAAACAATGACAGCAATGGAGATGATGGCCTCATCGACTTTGCCGGTGGTATGGACGATAGTGCTTTTGGCGATGCGTTGCATGGCATGGACAGCGTGGGAGATTCTGGGGAGGGGAACACGCCTGCCCAGCCGTAGGATGGCGGCACCGTGCCGTTTGATCTCTTTTACAGACTCCCATGAGTGGCAGCATGTTCGATCTTCGACGGACATGCCTCCTACAATCAAGCGGAGAATTCTGCTTGTTCGGTCCAGCTCGTCAGATTCTGTCGAACTTGGCATACTGTTTTTACGAGTAAATCGAGAAATCACAAGGAGTCAATATGGCACGCAGCTTTGATCAGTGGCAAATGTGTCCGCGCAAACCTTTTTCCTCCTGTCAACAACAGTTTGTCCCAAAGCAAGTAGACACTGGGTCTCAACAGCACATTTGACTTCTTCTGTCCTAATCAGCGTTGCTGCAGTCTGTGGGAGGTGTGATGACGACGTATTCGGCAATGTTGATTCGAAGATTTGGAGAAGAAGGCCGCATAGTCGAACATGCCTGCTGGATTGGTCAATATCGCTTCTGCGCTGTTTTGTGGTGTCGGGAACATCATTCGGCCGCAAACGTTCAAGGCGGCCGACGCACCGCTGTCCAGGCCCGCAAAGGTGTTACTTGTTTGCTGCTGGGTCGGTTCTGTAGCATTGGCTGTTACTCTTGCAACGGATTATCTCATCGTAAACAAAAGCCGGAATAGGAAGTGGGAGCATTGAGGATGATTTGCTTGCCTTGAGCAAAGGCTTCGATGGCTTGACCGATAAGCAGAATAAGAATTTCAGGTACCAGTACTAAGCTTTCTTTTTTAGAAACCGGGCTGGAGCGAGCTAGCATCCGATGGTACGAATACATGAAAGCAGGTCTGTTCAGAGATTCCTCCTTAAGAGTACTCCTCGTTGTCCTGGAACTACTTCGTCTTAAAGTTCCCAGGTGGTAAGATCTTTTCCTCCCAAGTAGTCGCTCTTGCCGACCGGCACACCCTTGGATCTCAAGATGTCGTAAGCCGTGGCATAATGGAAAAAGAAGTTCGGGATCACGAATTTCTGGAGGTAGCCAATTCCGGTGAACTCAGCTTCGTGTGGGCCCATCTTGACCACGCACTTCGTATCCTTTCAAGAATGCATTAGCAAGATAAAAATTCATTGATGCCCATGGGAGAACCTTTGACGTACAGGTGCCGAAAACTTCTCCTTCTTCGCAGCTCTGAGAATCTTCACGGTTGCGTCAATTCTGGCGTATAGATCAGCCAACGACTTCTCGTTGTCCTCCATTGGAGTGTTCTCTTCGCCTCCAATGCGGAAAAGGATGCCCTTGGCTGTGTCGCTGCAGGTTTGAATTTGGAAGGTCAAAGGCTTGGATTCCTCGTTAGCAGAGTCGGAGTGAGATGCTAAGTTGATCGTACCTTCATGTCGTCGACGATTCTGGCTTCGAGAAGCTCACTCTCGGACTTTCCATTGTCCTTGGCCCACTGCTCGCCCTTCTGGAGAACTCCCTTGAGATTCTCGAGGCTGCGAACCAGGATTGGGACACTGAGGTCGTAGAGTGTGAGCGACATAATGGTGGGAGGTCTTTGAGTTTGCTTCCTGAGATGTGTGGGGGATGTCGTCGGTTTATGAACTTCGCAGCTGACAATGGCGTGACAGTGGCAGCATTTGGCGGACCAGGTCAAGTGAATATATACTTCTCAGATCTTCTACCCCATACTGTAGCATCCAAGCCATTTGATTCTTTCCCCGGCTGTTCGCGTTCGAAGCTTCCCGTTCGTACTCGATGGATTTCGATCGTGCATGCCAAACTGGGTTCGAGGCCTCCACCTGAGACTCTCACCGATGTGTGATTTGTAATCAGAAATGGTCTAGCGAAGCAAATCGCCCTTCACCGATGATCAACCACAGCGGTAGTTTCACGCAATCAAGCATGAAGAGTGATCTGTAGGCAGGATTTGTGCTTCCTTCACGCTACTGTTACACAGCGACGGGCTTAGCATTCATCCGTTCTTCTCGCTGGACCGGTGAGGAGTGTTGGTGGAACATCAGTTCCACTTTAATCAGCAAAGCAGATGTTAGAAGACTTCTTGCCCTAGCGCACGGCTAGCCTTGGCGCACAGTGTTCAGCTGCTTCCGTAGACTATTTTTGTATGCAAATAGCTCTGTGACTGTATAGACCCGATTGGTAGGGCGACCAACAATCCAAACAGCCAGGACAGTCCCAATATCGCTACCACTACCAGGACCTACAGAGCAAACCGTCACACACTTTCCAAGCGCTAGAGAGGCATCCAGGGCAGCAGGCAGGCCCAGCACGCTACCTCCTTCTTAGGCTCTTCGTATATAGACTTCTACCTTCTACCTTCTACCTTCCTTTAACTAATTTATATACAATTAGCGTCGATCGGTTCTTAGCTCTTCTATATATAGTCTAGTATATAGAAGAAGTCTTTATCGAAGAGCCTAAGGACAAATATACTAAATCTATAGTACTAATCCTATATATATACAAAACAGGTAGAATAGTTTAATAACTATATACCCTAAGCAAAAGCTATACTAGAATCGTACCTAGGTATTAATATAACAAAAATTATTATCTATATAATAATCTATATATTTCTAAAGATATAGGAACAAAAATTATAAAATACTACTTTAGGATAAACGCTATACGAATAGCGTCTAGATTGCCTCTATAACGATACTACTACTACCGTTTGCTATAGGTAGAACTATACGCTAACCCTTAGAATTAGCTACTCTCTAACCTCTAAGTATATTTTATACGAGGAGAGGGCTAGCTAGCTAGCTAGCTCTAGGCGTAATCTACTAACGATCTATTCTCGCTCGAATATTTTTAGACTTTAGTTATACCTCTTTAAATCTAGTATAGTCTACAATTAATCTAATTAATCTAGACCCCCCTAAATTAAATTAGATTACTAGAACCCCTAGATTAGATTAAATTAGATTGCTTTAATAGAGGCTAGATTAGATTAGATTAGATTGCTAAATTAGCAAGAATAAGCTAAATTAAATTAGATTAAATTGCTAAGTCTATCTAATTTAGCCCTTTAGCGAAGTTTAGCCCCTAGATTAAATTGAATTGCTTTAAAAAGGGCTAGATTGAATTAGATTGCTTTAGAAAGGGGCTAGATTAAATTGAATTAGATTGCTTAGTTAGTAGGAATAAGCTAGATTAGATTAGATTGAATTGATAAGCCAATCTAGATTGCAATCCCGGCCGGATATACTTTATAGTATACTATATTGTCTTATATTCGAGTTAATAGGATTATATAACGCTAGTTATCTATAGTATAAATCTATAAGAATAATACTATAGATTTAGTATTTGAAGGTGTTAGTAAGTCGGTAAGTCGTAGATTAATTTAGTGCAACTCTAGGTACCGCTCCCGACGTAAGCAGTTTGTGCGAAGGCAGCAAAATTCTTGATTGCCGACGAGCGTACCTCTACCCTAATTCCTCGTTCTTCTTCCTACGACGAACGGATAACGACCTCTGTTGTGCTTAACGGACAAGGATAGCGCAGCCCATGACATACATAGAAGCTAGACTGAATAACGGGGAGATGAGAGAGAGAATTTCTCAATGCGTGCCTATTCGGTTCCGCACTCAATCACCTTCTCGATCTCAACAGTAGATGCATCGGCCTGTCTTTATTCAAGTCCGGCCATATCGAAGCAGTCATCGCCGGGGCGGTCTGAATCCTCCCGGTTCTCAGGCTGTTCTACGGAAGACGATATTTCCGACTGAAGCCATTAATGTACGACACGAGGAGATGATCTGCATACCTGGAAAGTACGTCCACGATGCTGCGCTGTGCCATAAGTAACAATAGATGGTATATATCGCCATCATCCTGAGCATAAACTACGTAGGTATGGCTTGTACAACAGTCAAGAATTACAGCTTCTCTCGCAGCATATCAGAATCAATACCCAGCATCAACTCGAAATGCCTTCAACCTACCTCGTCTTCGGCGCAACAGGTGGTACAGGTAAACATTTCGTTACTCAAGCTTTGAATGCTGGACATCATGTTAGAGCGCTTGTTCGTAGCTCTTCGAAGTTGGAGGGCCTCATAGGGTCGGCGAAGGCTTCGACGAGATCTGCAGGTGTTCGAGGGGAGTATTGGGGATGTGAAGCCTGAAGAAATGGATGGGTTGGTGAGAGGTAAGACGATATAGGAATGCCTAATTGAAGGCGGAAATAAGATGAGATGAGGGGGACTTTGCTGACATTACGGCGTCCTAGGCAGTGATTTCGTCGTTTGTATGCTTGGCGAGAAGGAGGTGCAGAAGACGAGGAAGATATGTGTGGAGTTTGTCAAAGACCGACTTGTGCCAAGTATGAGGAGGTGGTGAGTCGATCCCAATTCCATTTCTTTATTGGAGATATCAATTCGCTGACAAGAATCATCTCCCCAGTGGCTTCAAAGGCAGATTCCTCTACCAAGCTGGTGGCCTGACTTGTCCTCCCGGGGAGAGTCTGAGTTGGACGCTTTGGACAATCCGCAACACTATCGCCAGAGGTTTTATCGGTCAGCATGAGGATAATGAAGCTGTTATGGAGTTTTTGCATAAAGAGTGTGGGGATTTGGAGTGGATGGTGCATTTGGCGGGTATTGGTGGAGATGGAGCGACGAAAGGAAGGTTGGAGAGGAGCAAGGAGAAGTTTAGCATTGGCAATCATAGGGATTGCGCGGAGTTTAGTTTGAGAGTGATGGAGCACGATGAAGCCGTTCGGGGATGGTGGTTTAGTCGGTATGTCTGACGTGGGTGATCTCAGAGATGATACATAGCACCATCAGTGTTGTCTTATCAGCAGAGATGCTGTACACAATGGCACAGCCGTGAACATCACCGTTATTATACGGTGAACACAGACCCCTTTGGTGCCTGCCTTATGAACACAGCAGTTCATATAGCCGGACACAGCGGATAACTGCTCGGTGCGGTGGATATCCTTCGTAATGGATCGTTCTCGGTGTAGATCCCTAGGTAACTAATCTGTGTCAGTGTGTCTCGTGCATGTTCATATCGTGAACACTGTGTTCATAGACCCGGAAATTAAATACACTGTGAGTCTACATCTCTACTTATCAGTGGTGCTGGAGGAGTGTGGGTCCCTGTGACAAGGCCACAGGCGCTTGTCCTGGGCATGGCAGATGTTCGAGCTGTACGGGAGCAGGCATGATCAAGTGTGAGTGTCCAGCGAAAGGCAATGCGCAATGGCTCTTAATCGACCTGCTCCATACATGACATGTGCTGTGTCCGCGAAACAGCATAGGATGTGATGTGTAAGTCGATGCCACGCCAAGCATCGGCGAAGGACTTCAGCCCGTCGCGTCTCCTGCAAGCACTTACTGTAAACATGCAACGCGCCGCTGGGCGCAAACAACCGCCATGGCCGTCACAGAAGCGGCAGCAGGGCCAGCTCTGGGCGCGCAATCGCCTCACAAAACACCCAACAAGCAACTGATGACGCCAAACGTGGCCAATGTGGTGCTGGGCACCCTCCATATCAAGCCCTGGTATCCCTCATTCTATCCAGAAGATCTCGTAGGCGGCCGCAAGACAGAATGGCTCTACGTCTGCCAGTGGTGCTTCAAATACACGAGCGAAATCATGAAGTTTAGTGCGCATTGTGTGAGTCTACGAGGGAGTATAATGGCATGCTGGGCGGGAAAGAGCTGATACAAGTAAGAAAGTCTGCCCGTTGAAGTCCGAGGCACCACCAGGCGAGATCATCTACGAAAAGGACGACTATGTCATCCACAAGATTGACGGAGAGGAGCAGAAGGTATCATATCAAACTATACGGAGCAGATGATTGCAGCTGTTTGCCTGACAGCATATTCAGCTCTATTGCCAGAACCTCTCCCTCTTCGCCAAGCTCTTTCTCGAGACAAAGTCCGTCTTCTTCGATGCCTCGACCTTCCTCTACTACACACTTATTTTTCGCTCGCCAGATCACCCACACGGCACAGTAGCAGGCTTCTTCAGCAAAGAGAAGATGTCGTGGGACAACAACAACCTCGCATGCATCCTGGTGTTTCCGCCTTACCAACGCCGGGGCCTAGGCCAAGTGTTGATCGGCGCATCATATGTGCTGGGTCGGAAAGAAGGTCGGTTTGGTGGGCCGGAGCGGCCGCTGAGCGTGCCCGGCAAGAAAGGCTATGTCACCTACTGGAGTGCTGAGATCGCGCGATGTCTCCTCAGCCAGCCGAATAAGAAGACGCTGGGGGTCAAGGAGATTAGCGAATTGACCTGGATTATGCCTGAGGATGTTGTCGTTGCGCTGAAAGAGATGGATGTGCTTGAGAAGAGAAAGACTGCTAGTGGCAGTGTTGTGCTTAACAAGGGCAAGATTCGGAATTGGGTGGAAAGAAGCAAGGTGAAATTGGATCCGGCCGTGGACGTGGATGCTTTCATCGAGGATGAGAGCGAGCTCAGTGAGGTCATGAGCGAATGAGTCTTTGAAGAGCTGGGGAAGCCGGGCTTTGAACTCACATGATACCCTCCACGCCTGACACGATAACATGCCTTTTTGTCGCGTCAGTACGCCGGGCCCGTTCATCCGAAGACACTCGACAGCCTCGCACGTATACGCTGGTCAGCGACATCAAGCCGCCTAACGTCGATACTGATGCGTGGCCTCGAAGGCACGGCGTGTCATCTCGAATGTAATGATGTCATCCACCTCATTCGCGGTCACCTCATAGTCCAAAATGTCAGCGCAAAACATCAAGAACTGCCTCATCTCTCTAGAGTCGACCTCTGGTCCTAATGCTCCGCGCTGGAGGCTGTGGCGAGCACAGATATTGGCACACTCTGCTGCCTTCCGCTGTAAGCCTGGCAAGCCCCGCCAGGGTAGCTGCTCCAGCACGTTGTCCAACTCGAAGACCAAATTGATCAGAGCAATGTACCGAAGCCTTCCATTAATACCAAGTCCTCGAGCAACGGTGCGGTGTAAATTGAAAGCTATTTCCACCATGAAAATCAGATCACGGTAGTGCTGAGCGAAGAAGATACAGCTCAGGACTGTGCGCTGGTACCTGTCGGAGAGCTGATGAAGGCCGTACTATCACACGTCAGCACGAGCTCATAATGCTCAAAGGAATGATGTATTGTGAGCTACCTTTCTGCATGCGATCAATCCATGCAAGGCGTTCTTGAAGTTGTGTCTGTTTGCTAATCTCGAAGCAAGGCGACCTTCTTCGGCCACGTCGCCTACGTCTTCAATGCCTTCGAATGGTAGTCGCACGTCGAGCTGGTAAAGATGTCGAAGAATGTTCTCCATAACTTCTTCTGGCGTATCGGTACCAACAAGGAATGGGAGCCTTCCCTACATGGTATAATGTCAGTCTTAAGATTATGTTGTGAAAGGACCCTTCGTACCTCTGGCGTCACGATGCACACATCTTCAAAGAAAGGCACCACCTCAAAAACGATATCTCGATGAGCTCTGAACGCACGCGTCTCGGTCTGTATCACAAGATCCGCGAGTTCGCCCGTGTGATAGAGTCTGAGATGCATTAGCGAAGGCCGTGAGACCTCACTCGCAAATACTCACCTCTGCACCATGACTACGGCTGCTTCGGTACGTGAGCCCATGGCTGAAAAACTGGGGCGAAAGCTGAGGTTTGTTGGAATCGATGGAACTTGTGTAAGTGATGAACGTGGATGGCAGGTTGGGGTAGAAGGGCTTTTTATTCCATAAGCTGGCAGCAATAGAGTAAGACCGAGTTCAAGCACCGGAAGGAGTTTGACCAAGACAGTCTTGCTCTGCCACACTGAAACCGGAGCAGCTGCTTGGGATGACTTGAGAATATACTCCAGTACTTTCGAGACGGGTTTTGGATTTGTCTCTTGATGTTGTAAGACACTCGGGTGGTGAATCGTAGAGCGCGCTGGTTCCAGCCAACGGATTCTGAATGTCGGATGAAGTTGAAGAACGAGCACCATTCATACTCCATCTCGGCTAGTTAGATGGAAGCTTCCAAAGTAAGTCATTCTAAGCCCTTCGACGAAGACAATATCTCCTTTGCTTCATATCTACCTTTAAGCTCCGATGTCTCACAGTCCTCCGCACCCGGGACGCACATATGGGCCGGCTGATGAGCTCGCAGTGCCACTGCTTCACTCTGCTGAATCTTGGACCATCTTTCTTTGATCGGGTCCCTCGTATCACGGAGAACACAGTCTCGATTTCATATTCTCAGTTGCCATCCCACATCAAGACATCAGCCGTGAGGACCTTATAGCTCTCCAGAACCTTCTCAATCGCGTTCCAATCGTTACCTGCGTTTCGCAGGTCATAGACAATATCAAACGCCTTGGCAGCCGTGTTGAACTCCCTATCATTTACTTCCACGTTGTATGTGAGGTGAAAAGGGAGTCTGTCCTCGAAGTAGGCCTTTAGCCAGTTCAAAAAGTTTGGCCATGCTTCACAGTCTCTGCATGAGATGTTGGCGCGAAGCTTGGATTGGTCGTAGAACTTGCTGGTGTAGCGCCAAAAATTCAGTGGGATTGAGGAGTCGAAGTTCTCACATTCGAACTCGAAGGTGTTTTTGCAATAGTAGATTCCCGTGGCTTCTCTTCGGATGGTCTTGCATGTCCGGAGTAGCGCAGGCTGCATCCAGTTGTCCCTAGTGATTTCAATGCTCTCGGAGTTGCAAAGGGAGTACTCATAAATGAGATTTCGGATTTCGGGCGCTAATTTGGTCAAGTAACACTCTGGCGGCTCTGATGGTGAGGCCATCTCGTGAAGCCGAAGTCGATGGTTATGTTTCTCGTGATGGCCTTTCGGTCGCGTTGTGGCAAGCAGATGTGGACCAGAGATGGCTGATGGTGATGGCGGCGGATATGTTCCGAGCGATGAGTCTCGCTATTGGGTAGCCCTCTGAAGCGAAGAGCTCGAGCCTGAATGTGAGTGTGATGACAGGAGGGCAAGTGGCAAAAGAGCAAGTTGAGGCGTGGGCATTCGGAAGACTGTGATTCGGAAGGAGCCAGATGTTTCAATAATTCACTCCGTCAAAAATCTGCATGTCCACCCGCTGCGGAATGAAAAAAATTCGCAGATTCGATACATGCAGTGCGCTCGCTCAGAGTATGTTATGTCATGCTATGTATCAGTCACTAGATGATTCTTCGAAATCAAACAACAAATCAGTCAATGTCAGCGCCTTCAATCAAATTTGCGTATTGCCTCCTCATAACATTGGCTATGCCGTAGCTGGCCTGTACCACGCAATTTCGCATCTCTTCCTCAGTTCAGCTGACGAGATCGCCGCCATCGTATTCAATGCCGAACGTGTTCAGCAAGTTCTTTGCGGCTTTCTCACCGGTGGCAAAAGCACCGTGAACACAGCCGTTGGCGACCAGTGTGCAATGCTCGCCAGCGAACTGCAGTCGAGAACCCTTATGCTTCTCAAGTGCATCCATGAGCAGTCCAGGCTCGTCACCGACCTTATCGGCAGAGTAAGTCCCAAAGCCAGCGAAGGGGTCCTGCGTCCAATGCGTGGTCTCTACATTGATCAGGCGTGGCAAAGTCTTGTATGGCTCTGTGCGAAGCAGCTTGAAAAGAGGCTCAAAGAATTTGTAGATGGCTCCTTTGTCTGTCATAGCCTCGATGCGTTGCGTGAGTGGCTCGGCAATTTGCACGCACAACTCGTTGGCGGTGGTCATGATCCAGATATTGATTGTGATAGTGGCGTAATTGAGGATGTTGTCCTCTTCGGTACTGCTGCTGGAGCTGGCAGACGTCGAATAAAGCTCTTCATCGAGAGCCGGTGGCGATGGATAGTATATGAATCTGAGGACTCATTAGCAAAAGCTGTGACCGAACCCATGGTTCAATGTCGTCAAACTTACTGGTCATGATCTTTGGACCAGAAGACATCGGTGAACTCGAAAAAGACTTTTCCGAGCGCGGCATAGCCGTACTTCGACAACGCAAGCTTGGTATCATCCGGAAGAGAAGGACTGAACTCCACGAGTTCGTTGCGAAGCACGCCAAGCGGCAGGGTCGAAATGACGGCGTCTGCTTCGATGCGTGAGGAGCCGCCGTTGCCGTCGTGATACTCCAGTGCACAAGCAGTGGAGCCATCGTCGGACCATTCAATACGGTCGACAATACTGTTGAGACGAATTGTGTCGGGTTTCAGGGAGTCAGCAACCCACTTGACAATATGGTCGTAACCGCCCTTCATGTCTGTTGAAGCGTTAGTACGTCGTTGAGCGTCGGCAACACAACTGATACGCACATAGGTTGCGCTCGGTGATGAAGTATGAAAGATGCTTGGAGCTGGCAAGCTCACAGGATGTTCCAGTCCACAGCTCTACCTCTTTGACAGCCTGCGGGGCCCACAAACGCTCATCGTCGGAGATGAGCTCGTGCTGGAGCACGAATTCATGGACGAAGTCGCTCACAGATTTGTCTGGCGCATTGGGATATGTCTCATAAAACCACGCGCAGTGGTCGGCAAACTCATCGGCTACCTTCTTGGCCTTGAACTGAGCGCCGGCACGGCCTTGCTCGGTATAGTACAGTGGCATACCGTCATCGTAATAATAGTCAAGTTGTAGTTTGGAAATGAGTCTGACAAGTTTGTTCTGGGAGGTCTCGTGAAGCCACGCCGCTCCTTGATTTATCTACAAGTTAGCAAAGAGGAAACAGGGTTCCCTGGAGGTGAAGAAGCCTTTTTATCGGCCCAACGGACCCGCGCAGGTCTGCAGCTCAGTAGCAGCGGCAAGTTTGCTCATGATCACTAACCGAAGTCGCGTGTGATGCCGTGGTCGTTCCTCGTTGTGTGGATTCGCCCGCCGATGCGGTCGCGGCCTTCCAGGATGGTGACTTGGACTCCATGGCGTTGGAGGACAGACGCGGCTCGCAGTCCAGAAATGCCCGCTCCCACTACGACTACGCTGACCTTGTTCTTTTGCTCCGCTCCTGGGTTGCTAGCCGTCACAGCTAGCGCCGCGTCCATGGAGGTCGAACCGCTGGACGAGACTGAGAATGCGTTCTCACCCAGGGCGGAGCCACAATTAGACGGCTTTTTTTGCGGACTGTCCGGTATAGTGGACGTGACGTGGTATAGATGGGCCATATTGTGCTGGCAAGCTGACATTCAGCTATGGACGTGCACGGAAGAGTGTTGGGTACGCTGGTGCGTAGGGCTGTTGTGCGATACGCCGGTGGTACTGCAGAGCGAGGTTTGGGAAGGGAAGAGAAGCAAAACGACGGGATGCCAGGGCATGTTCTTATGGAGTGACGGACTGCGCGGGATGGACCGAGGGGCGATGGCATGCATCGTGACAGGGCTCAGGGGTCTATGTCACCTCCCACTGCAACGGCGGCAAACTGATATCCAAAGTATTCTCGATAACGATACTTATTTAACGTATAGCCCACCTTCTTGAGCAACCCTAAGCTCTACGGCCCTATATGGATTACATCGTCTTAAGCGTCTACTTCGTCAAGTCCGAAGAACTGCTATATAACATCGAAGCGGCTAAGCGTCTCCTTCGTCAAGTCCGAAGAACTGCCACATAAGATCGAAGCGGCCTGGTTGGTTAGATGCGCTTTGTATAAGTACCAAGCGTGCGGCGGCCTTCGCATGCCCATTTTATGCCCCTTTCCGGCTCATTCATTCACCTGTCGTTGCGAGCGAGTCGCATAGAGGACAGGGTCTATACGGTGGTCGAAAGCGGCCCTCGTTTGGCCCGAGAAGCTGCCTTCTTCCATTCATCTACTACTGCACGGCGCCAAACATACCGGCCCTCCGATAGTATGTAGATAGTGCACGTGATTGAACGTTGGGCCCGGCATGTGTCCCATGCGTGCAGCGGTCGCGTGCCCAGTTCATGCCCGTTTCCGGCTCACTCATCATTAATAATTCACCTGGAGGCTGTCGTTGAGAGCGAGCGTATCGCATCGCATCGCATCGCATAGATAAATTCGGCAATGACAGGAGTCCACGTGCTGTGCTGGGAAGAGGAGAAATGCCTGGCAGGTCTTAGGCCTGTTGGGGAAGGTGCATGCGGGACTGATAAGACCCGACGCCATGGGCTTGAACGAATGGCGGGCTCAGAAGCGACGGTCCGTGTTTATTATTAGTGCCGAGCGCTGCAATGCGCACCGCATACACACTCTGTCTCTGCTCTGCCAATCTTCCTCCCCGTTTCGGCTACAGACATACATACATACGTGAAAGAGCAGAGCCTCAGGCATCTGGATGGGGTTACAGTCGACGCCATCGAGTGACCATGCACGCTCGCTGACTGGCCGACGGTTATGGGTCGATGCGCGACACTGACACTGGCACAGCGCGGCACTGGCTGACCCGTGGCGCCTCGAGGCTGGTCGGTGCCCGCGTCTGTCTACATTAATCTGGCCTTCGCATGACTTGCGCCGAGACGTGCGGAGTGAGCTTCGCTGAAACTTATCTTCTCGCACGACTTGGCCTCTTGGCATCGTTATGGCGGAGCCGACGGGAGAGTTCCTGCCAGGAACCATACAGATGTTCGTGCAAGGCGAGAGCGGTGATCTGCGCGACCAGGAACTCACCCTCACGCCTCCGCCAACGGACAGCCCAAATGATCCGCTGAACTGGAGCTTGTGGCGCAAGTACTGGCATTCAACGCTCGTGCTGTTTGTGACGGCCTTGACAGCCGCCACCGCCAACGATGCTGGAGCTGGTGGCGATGGCATGTTGTACGAACTCGGCATCCCATACTCTGTCGCCAACACAGCCGCCGGTGTTCTGTTTCTGGCCATCGGCTTCTGGACGCTGTTGGCGAGCCCTATGCCTTGGCTCTATGGCCGACGCATCCAGTATCTAGTCTGTTTGTTATGGGGCGTGGTGGGATCGATCTGGTTCGCGAGAATTCAGAACAGACAGGATTCCATTTGGAACCAAATGTTTGTCGGCGCCTCCGAGAGTTGTGCAGAAGCGCTGGTTCAGCTTTCGCTGTCCGACTTGTTCTTCCAGCATCAACGTGGTACTGTCTTGGGCATTTACATCCTTGCGACATCCATTGGAACATTTCTTGGTCCACTTGTAGCTGGCTACATTGCCATTGATAGCTGGAGATGGATTGGTTGGACGGGCGCCCTAATTTGTGGTGGAACAATGATCGTCTTCTATTTCGGACTCGAAGAAACGTCCTTTCATCGCGAAGCAATTCTTGGACAGCATGCTGGCAATCCGTCGGCCTCTCAGACCCTTGACAATGACGAAAAGACAACCGGGTCACAGGACCAGAACGATACTGACGCCAGAGAATCGACCGATAGCGAGGCAATGCGGTTTACGGACAAGAAGAAGACGTACTGGCAACGCATTGCTCTGATTACCCCCGCGCCGAATATGCTTGGCACCGGACTCAAGCAGTATTTTTATCGTCTTTACCACACCCTCCGAGTCTTCCTCTTCCCGGCAGTCCTGTATTCTGGACTTCAGTGGGGAGCTCAGGATGCCTGGCTGTCGTTCTATCTCACTGTAGAAGAAGACAATTACTACGATCCCCCCTGGAACTACTCCAACCAGGCCGTCGCCATCATGAATATCCCAACCCTCATCGGCGCAACAATGGGCTGTATCTATGGTGGCTACTTTTCTGACATTTTCGTTGGGTGGATGGCCAAAAGACGAGGTGGCATCTCCGAAGCCGAGGACCGCTTGTGGTTGATGTTCCTCTCCGCCATCATCAACCCTGCTGGTCTGATACTGTTTGGAGTTGGCTCGGGGAAGGGCTGGAGCTGGCCCGCTCCGTATGTTGGTCTCGCTATGACTGGCTTCGGCTTTGGTTGTGCTGGCGACCTGTCTATGGCCTATCTCATGGACGCATATCCTGACATGGTTCTGGAGGGTATGGTTGGCGTTGCCGTGATCAACAACACTCTCGCCTGTATCTTCACATTCACGTGCAGCTACTGGATCGATGCTTCCGGTCTCAGCAACACCTTCATCGCAATTGGAGTCTTGTCGTTCTTCTTTCATCTGCTGACCATCCCTATGATGGTTTGGGGGAAGGCTTGCAGGCGTTGGACGTACAAGGGATATCAAAGGTTCTTGTACTTGCGAGACGGGGAACAGTGACTCTTGGAAAACGATCATCTGAGGTATTTGAATTTCAAGGGAGGTATACGCACAGAACCATGACTAGCTTACCCACATGTGGCATAACCATTTGAATCAATCATGATCTGCAACCCTCTACATCAGTGCTTTCAAAGTGGTATCGCCATGCAGAACTCCGCAACCCCTGCGCCAAGTGTAGATCAACCACAATTTCCAAGACAAGTGGTATCAGTGTCTTCCACCATCTCTTAAGCGCCTACTTCAACCTCGCCACGCCTGTTACCTCTCCGATGGCTATTCGAAACGGCACCCGGACGGTTCAGCGTGTATTTGGCGAACGCACGTGCTAGGGCCTTTTTGCAAGACACCTTCTGAGAACCGACAAAGGAGTCAACAGCTACTGCTATCGCTCGATCGATGTCGGTAGAGTTGCAGTATTCCGAGAGGCGCATCTTTGCGAAAGACTCAGAGATACGGAGAATGCTTTCAAGATGACGGACCTGTCGTTGGGGTCAGTGGGATGCAGCGTGCTGCCTCGTGAACGTGAACTTACTGTAATCGGGTATGCTCCAGTGGCAAGCGATTCTCGTCGCATGTCAGCGAACAGGCGCGCAATCTTGTCCTGGTCGATTTGATAAAGCTTGGGTCGACAGTGTTCACGGGCGTAAAGAATGTACTTCCTTAGAAGCTCTTGCGGTATTTCTGTCTTGGGTCGCGTGCCTGGCGCTTCTCCATCGAGGTCCATGCCCTCCTGTGTTTCAGCTTCGGCACCCAAGGAGGAGTTCATGACTGGATGTGCCCGTCCATGTGAGTTGACAACGAAAGAAGCCAGTCGCTCATCCTCGGCTGGATCGACAGTATCTCGAACAACGCAGAGAATGTCGAAACGGGACAAGATAGGCTCAGTAAGTTCAACGTTCTGGCTGAAGGGTACAGTGCCATTGTAGCGGCCACCGATCGGATTTGCAGCTGCGATGACTGCACAGCGAGCCTGCAGGGTTGTGACAATACCGGCCTTTGAAATAGAAATGGTCTGCTGCTCCATAGCCTCGTGAATCGAAGTTCGATCCTGGTCATTCATCTTGTCGAATTCGTCAATGAGACAAGTGCCCTTGTCGGCAAGTACAAGCGCACCACCTTCCAGAGTCCATTCTGCGGTGAGTGGGTCACGTCGTACAGAAGCCGTAAGACCGACAGCAGAGGCGCCTTGCCCAGTTGCGAAGACAGCTCGATGGGCAGTGTTCTCGATATACTTCAGGACTTGTGACTTGGCTGTTCCTGGATCACCAAGCAGCAGAATGTTGATGTCTCCACGGATCGAGTGTCGACCTTGAGCCTCTTTGGCAACGCCGCCAAACAGGGACAAAGCAACAGCAGTCTTGATGTCTGTATGGCCATAGATGGAAGGCGCGATAGAGCTGATGACCTTGTCGACGATCTTCGGGTCCTTGCTCAATCGACGAATCTCAGCTTCGTCTTCGTCTGTCAGCCGGAAGCCTGCGAGCTGGTCGTGCGTCTTCACAACGTAGTTAGCTTCCAGAATGGTGGCAAAGACAGGAAAGCCATTCTTGTTGTTCAGCTGGGCATCGTAGTTGTTGCGGTAAACTCCCGTGATTTCGACTTCCTCTCCAGGCTTAGCCGAGTCAATGAGATCCCAGAGCAGGATCACTTCTCGATGTCTGGGCAACCGACCAGCCGGGACTGTACCAGGCGACTCTTGGAGAGTAAGCTTCTGGTAGTTTCGATACACAGTCTTTTCACTGTTTAATGCGAAAGGACCACGAGACTGGCAGTTCTGGCAGAACGAAAGCTTGACTTCTGCATTACTGTCCTGTGGATATGGGCCAAGGGTGATGCCACATTTCATGCAGTCAAACTTGACGTACTTGAGCTGTGGGAAGACGCCTGTTCTCCTGGTGACTACTCCGCTGACTCTAAGCAGGCAATTCAAGTGGCTCTGACGAAGTTGACGCAAAGTATAAGAAATTGGTAGATTTGTGATCCGGACGTGCAGCTCGGAGTGAATGCGCTCATAATCTGGGTAGTGATAGAGTGCAACTTCCAGCGCTACCGCGTCAAAGATGGGTAGGATTGAGGAAGGCACGTTGACCAGGAAGTACGCCAGAGTTGGCTTGGATTGCGAAAGATGGTCCCAGTCGACTTCCAGTGATTCGGCATTGACCTCTCCAAGCGTTCGGATGCGCACACCATAAACCGAAGTCCCTGCAGAATCGGTATATTCTGTGAGGAAGGCTTTGAATTCGCGTGCGATTGTCTTATGCACGGCGGGCAGAGTGACCCAATCGGTCAAACTGGCAGCCTTGACATCTTGAAGCGCTTCGAGGGACAACTCCTCAGCCATGATATCCTCGTGCATGTCGATGTCGTCCGGCTCTTCGTCGAATCTGTGTCGCCGCCTTCGTGGCTGGCGAGTTAGATCTGTGACATCCTCTTCTTCGTCCGGCAGGAAAGCGCCAGGGACTCTGCGCTCTCGTGCCAATTCGCGATCGCGTCGGTTCAAGCGTGCTTCGAGCTGTCTCCTGGCTGCCGCATCCATCTGATCGTACTCGCCTTCATCGTCGAGGTCTGCGCCTTGGTATGCTGCATCATCTGTTCTGTCGTAATCACGGTCGAAGTTGTCGCCGAACAAGTCAATTCCTGCATCGTCCTCTGCCATCTCGTCGGCATCGTCAATGTCCTGAATGAGATCTTCCTCAGGGTCAAGGTTGTCATCTTCCTCGATATCGTCGTTATTCGGGAAGACGGGTGGAGAGGATGCCGGTGCTATCCAAGATCAGCATGATGACGACTCCAAACCTTGCATACCATACTCACGGCTCGACGGTGGTGCTCCCGAGGACGACGGCATATCATCCTCCTGATCCCTTCCACGCTTTCTGCCGCCCGCAGTGGGTCGACCGCGATTTGCTGCTGACATGTTTGGGCGGAGAGGTGGTGAGCTGCAGATGGTCAGAGGAGAGAATTGCAAGCAAATTGGACTGTTTTACCTCATGTCTGTATTGTAGTAGTGTGTTGGCAGAGTGATGGAAGTGCTGGAGACAAAACGCTGCTCCACGACGCGTTTCGCGCTTCGACGCGTGACGGATGTTCCCGTATCAGCGCGTAAAGTGGTCTTGGCATTGGTTCCGCATCGTCTTTCCACTTCATGCTCACCTGACGACACAAAGATGCACAACAGACGCCATTCGCTCCAGACCTAAGTTCTAGCACACGCCTCCTCGAGCATACGCGTCGTTGCCATGGCTGGTGGAAAGGATGTCTGAAAGTCGCATTTGGTGACACTTCTATTAATTTAATGCGCCTCCACTAAGCACTTCTGTGCCATGGATGTGAATCTACAACACTTCCTGTTCGGAAGAAATATCGCCAACTCCGCGCTATGCTCATCAAAGTGGACATCATGCAATCCTAGAGCTCGTGAATCATAACAACCATAATCACAAATGCGCAGCGCCGGTCACCTTCTCGGTCTGTGCCCGAGCAAATTGAGCAGCCATGCCCAAGACTCCAGCATATCCGCCACCGCCTTGCGCATCAGCCTCGTCGCCATCCGAGTCGCTTTCCAGAGGTGCAGCACCAGGTGCATCAGCAAACTCCTGGAGGTCGCTGTCCTGCGCCATGAGACGGCTGTCACTGACGGCAGGCAATGGCGATTTCTCGGTCGTCCCCTTGTTGCCTTCTTCAGCGAGCTCTTTGGGAGGTCTGAGTCGAGACGTGATGGGCGCTTGCCTGGGAGAGCGAATCATAGATGGACTTGCATGGCGGTCAAGATATTCTGATCGCTTTATCGAGCCTGGCCTCGCGCGGGCCTGAGCTGGTGTTACGAAGGTGTCCGGCTCCTCTACAATGCCAGGAATGCCTCCTGGCCAAGTCGGCGGTGGCTGCCAGCTCTGTGGTCGGCGAACTCCAGGTCGATGATTGTGATGACTATAGTACTGCATGAAGTTTTGCAACGATGCTGCCATTTTGTCATCTTTCAGCCCGTAGTAGTCGTCGCGTAGGCCGTCGGGCTCCTGGAGCAGCGCGGTTGGGTCCTCTGCATTTGGATCCTTCTTGAAATTGAAGTAAGCAAAATTGCACTGGAAGCCGATGCCCTCAATATGCACAGTCTGCTCGCGAAAGAAATCGATGATGCGCTCGCAGTTTCTGCCTGAATTACGCCACATGATCCAGGGCGCGACGATCAAGCTCAGAACCTCTTCAGTGAAGATCATGATTTTGAGCTTGTACATGGAGGAAAATTCGGCGCGCACTTCGTCGCTGTGCAAGCGCTCCTTCCAGTGTGCAGGCATGTAGTGCGTGTACAGCAACACCTCTTTAAGGTGAAGGACTGGATCATGCACATCATGTTCTTCAGGTAACATGCCGTGCGCTACACCCCAGATCGTGGCCATGAGTCCGAGATAGAACACAGCCGTCCTCCCTGGGGTGATTTCAAAGCCAAGGAACAGCTCCGGGTCGAATAGCGTGCAAAGTGTGAGCACAGCCGCTACAGCACCAGATACGAAGGCAACAAAACGGCACAGCTGATCCATCTTGTCTTTTGGGAATTGTTTGAGGTACTCCGATGCAAAAGGTCCAGCTTGCCGCAGCCTCCTCTCAAATAGATGTCTCAGCTCATTGAACTCTCGTATCTTCCACTCTGCATACGGCGTGAAAGATCTCGTGCTTGCTCGAGCAGGACTCCTCGTGAACTCTGTGTAATACTTGAAGAAGTAGATGAGGCAATTGTAGCCAACATTGAAAGGCGCCAAGGCAATGCTGAATACAGCTGCCGCCCGCAAGCGAGCCCTGAGCGCGCCCACAAGAGCACTGCGATTCTTAACATCCAGGCAGGAAGCTCGAATGTTGCCTGTCTCAGTGAAAATGAAGTTGGTCAGGACAGTGTTGAAGCACCATTCCAAACTCTTCGAGTAGAATTGCCGGGTACCGAGGAACGGAATTGGTAAGGTAAAGTCTAGTAGGTCTTTGTTGTACATGGCGACGTAGTAATTGTCTTGTCGCATAAGTCGATTGGCAATGCTCTCGGCATTGAGTCGCTGCTGCGGTTTGCCATAGTCGACATATTTCCGTGCTTGCTCCGAGAGGTTGTTGGTGGCAGTGGACACATGAGCGTTCTGGACTTTCACGAGGCCATCGACAACTCGCTTCCAAGAGACGGTCTGAATATCCTGGTCGCTAATACCGAGAACGTGGAGGTAGAAGTCGTGCATTCTGAATAGCCTTCGGATGTCGCGTGCATACGTAATCTGCTTGTACAGCCAATAGAGTACGAAGAAGAAGAGTGAAGCATTTTTGAACCACGACGCCTTCGACATGCATTTCGGGATGACAACGTCTTTTGACGATTTGCTGCCCGGTATTGATGAATAGTCGACGCACGTGGTGAGGAAGATGGCAAAGCTGAACACAAATAGTTGTGTCAATGACTCTAGTGCTCTGGACAACAGGATTGACCACACGCCATGTTCGACATAGTAATGGTATACTTCCAGGAGGAACGAGTCCAAGCTGGGAGCATTAGTAAACAACCACATGGCATCGGCCTCGGGATTAGCTTTGGGCGCTGGTGCACCTTGGACTGGGGTCCGTGAAGGTCTTGAAGGCTGCCTCGACGAGCGCGGCGCTCTTGACGCATACAGACCTTCCTGGGCTGTCTTCCACTGCTCATTGGCCTTGGCATATTTCCTATTCATTTGTCTGGTGGCGACCATCTCACTGGGTCCCGCTTTCCCTCTTGGCTCAAGTAATAACGATTCTGGCACATCCTCATCTTCCACTGCTCTTCGCCTCCCTGATGTAGCCTGGCCTTTCGGTCTGGAGTGCATCGCCAGCGGTGACTGCGCCTCGGGACTCTGTCCAGGATCTGTAGGCGTGGGCTGCTCGCCATCTAGCAAGAACGCCTCGGGATCATCCTCGTCTTCATGAAAGCGATCGTGGTCGTCGTAGGGATGTCGCTGCGCCTCTACATCTCCGCGTCGGGCACTCTCTCTCCTTGCGCCATCGTAGAAGGAGACATCGCCTTCGGCCACAGGCAGAAAGCGCGAGAGCACACGCGACGCCATCATGTTCGTATTGTCCATGTTGAGAGAATCTCAGAAGGAAGCTCTCGCCTACTGAAGGGCAGGTATTCGCTGGTTGTGGGGCATTAATCAGGCAGGTAGCGGGCAAACGTGTAGCTATGCGTGGCTTTGTGATCGGGCGGACGTCCGTGGGTTTATTGCTGCGAGTGAGCTACCCATTCTCAGGCAAGCAAGCAGATAGAAGCAAACCAGATCTGCCCGCTTAGCTCTATGGGAGATTGCAGACGGATAAGGTACAGTATGTGTTTGACTTGGAGGAACGTCAGGCGACGCTGAGCATGTGAGTCTCCGCGCGCTTGTTGGGTGACGTGCCTGCCTCATTCGGAGATCTCGCGCCGAGCTACTCCTTCTTTCGATGGCCTGCCCTGCCAACAGCTTGATGTAACAACACAATCGCAGAGATGCATCATGTGGGATCTTGCAGACAACATCATCACAAGCATACGGATCTACTAGTTACAAGTCGTAGCATGTCGCTCACTAGAATGCAGTCCGTCGACCTTCTCAGCGCAAAATTGTCTTCTTGTAGAGCAAGCAAATGTTTCACCACACCAGGTCTAGCACATCGCATCCCGCGATTGGCGATGATCTTGTAGTTTCCCAGCTCAGAGCGACTGGAGGTCAGCATTGAGAATACGAGCAGCGGCCATGAAACCCGAAGCTATCATCTCATCCCTCCCACAGACCTGCCCAAGCAGCACCAGACCTTCGTTGGGTTCTGTTGCTCGTGTAGCAAGCTCACTGGTTCATCCTCCTGTTAGCAAAGTCAAGACACGAAAAGAGAGACCGCTCACGGCAATACCCTGCTGACACTCGCTGGCAGCGCTATGGACGATAGAGCGCCGAGCCCGTTCGGGATCAGTGCCGTTGACTGCAAAGCCCATTCCGACCACTGCTCACGATGCTCGCAAGGTCCACTTGGGACGCCCATCGATTCAGAAGCGTACGGCAGCTCTGCTGCAGCTGTTCTGTAGATATCCAGCCTTGAATTGGATGGTATGGCTCAACGAACCGCGTTACACTGGTCCAAAGGCTCATCATCGGAGCGACAGTCCTTCTATCGCTATTTTATTTGAGGGAAGTCACAGCAGGTCCACACGACAAGCCTTAAGCACATTTCTTAGCCCCTCTCCGTCCGAGACGCATGCTGTTGACGGATCACAACAATACTAAATTCACGTCTTGGACGTATAGAAAACATCGCCTTTCATCATCATCCTTGCTGTTCGATGAAGCTGGGCGCTCTTGATCTTACCGTTTTCCAAGACGCTCCCTACCTCAATTTTACCACTGGCGTGAGCGATGGTCAGAGATTCTCGTTCGCTCGGATCGCCCACTGCCAGATCAGCCGGTAGTGTGCCTGGCATCCGGCATGCTGCTCCGATATTCAGCGCCAGAGTTAAAGGCACCGCCTTATGTGGTTGCTGCATGGACAGTGCTCTGCACACTATGTGCACGCCCTTCTCAATATCCGCCGATGTTGGCCTGCTAACAAGGACAATCTTGGGAACGGTTTGCGCAGGTTCGACGCCCATCATTCGAGCACCTTCTTGCCGAATGAGCTCAAGCTTTGACAAAATTTCAGGATGCTCCTCCAGAGTCGCCGGCTTCACGTCCCCTGGAACACCGATGTCCTCTGCGAGGATGAAAACGCCAGGATTTGCGACATCAACCAGGCTGGCTCGAATCGATGTCCCGTCAGGCAACTTCACGTTATCGACAGCATTTCCTGTCGGTAAGGCTTTGCCTGTCTTTGCACCAGAGGGATCTAGAAAAGAAAGCGTGATGCGTGAACCAGTTCCTGGCACACCACCAATTGAGTAGTCACCAAAGGGATCGTAGACGCCATCCTTGGTCACGCTGAAGGTCGCATTGATCAGCTTTCCCGTGTTCGTGTTGAAGATCCGAGTGCTGACTTTTTTGTGCTCTTCAGCGTCTCCATTCACGTGGACATGGTGAAGCAAGCCTTCATTGAAGCCAAAGGGCCCTATGGCCGAAGACATATTGCCGCAATTACCAGCCAAGTCCAGAGAGCCATCTTTAATGCCAACTTGCACAAAAGTATAGTCCAGGTCGGCATCCTCACGACTCGACTTCTCGACCACGCACACTTTGCTCGTGGATGAGACACCCGAGCCAATTCCATCAAGCTGTCTGCCGTAGCCGTCTGGAGAGCCCATGGCTGCTGAAAGGATCGGCTGCCACTCTTTGACATCCTTGGGGAGGTCTTTCCGATGAATGATCAGGCCATTCGATGTTCCGCCTCGCACGAAGCACGCTGGAAAGCTCTTAATAGTCATTCCTGGAGTTCTGAATGAGGTTTTGTTAGCATATGCCGTCGAGCCTCTGTATAATGATCGTTGCTGGTGGAGAGATGTTCCCGATCCGTGAGCGGCAACTGGCCGAGGAAGTGCACCATGGGCACGCTGCAGTTGACGAATCATGGTGTGAAGAAGTCCATGATGAGCCGTACTCTCGGCAAGCGCTCAGCTCATGATGCGACGGCCTAGAATGCCTTTATATATCTTCTTGAATGCATCTGCTACGATGTTGGACGCAGCGATCTCGGCAAGCACGCCGAGCACGACATGCGTATATCTGATTCCTGGTCGGCCGACGGAGTCGCGACTCCGGCAATCTAGTGGCTTGGCGTAAATTCTATTCTTTTTGCTTTTATACGGAAGACAACCGTCCGCTTTGCGCATCGGGACTAAGCCGCAGCGGGTATAGATCCAAACTCAGCGGAGCCAGGCACGAATTTAGACCAATTATAAGCCGCGGGAATTCCTAATTTCTGTTCAAAAAGTGTGCAGGGGTTCAAAAGCTAGTTGGACACGTGAGTGTGTTTCATCAACCTCCTGTACACCCTCCGTATCGTTCGCTATTGCTTTATACATGGCGTCATCGAAAGATATCAAGAACGCAATCGTTGCGCCGAAGTTCAGGCAGCGACCCTATTCAGCTTTCCATAACTCTCGACAAATCACCACTTAAGCTGCTGCTATCATCACGTTTCGCAAGAGACCGTGCTGTCAGTCTGCAACACTGTGCAATGGAACAGTACAAGAGTCAGGATGTATGTATGGCCAATTACGCTTTATTAGGCTCACGGCGGAGCCCAGGTTCCCCAGGATAACCTCCCTGCAGCAGGGTCATGGAAGGACAGAATGTCTTGCGGACGTGCGCCTTGGTGAGATGTGTGGCCTTGCGTGCCTGGCAAAGGGCATTTCTCGTCACCGCGACCATTCTCCACATTATTCCCACCTGCTCATGTTGCCGCTCATATAGCACACGACACGCCAGTCTTTGTGGCTCCATTGGAGGCATGCCTGGGAACATCATCACTCTCTCGGCTGCCGATATCGAGCAATGGCCGCCAGCAAACTTCACGAACCCAGAGACGCGGGACTGGATGCCCTCATACACCGGGACATTGTACGCATTTGCAACCGCATGTGTCGCTATGAGAGTTCTGTCGCGCCTGAAAAACAGAGCGGAGGAATTCGGTTGGGACGATGCATTTCTTATAGCTGGCTGGCTCTTCTTTTCCTGGTTCACAGTTCTGGCCATACTTGGATCGGAGAAATACATGACGAAGAGACACATGTGGGACATCCCAATCTATGTTTACCAGAGAATTGCAAAGATGGTATGGATGGCAGAGTGGGCATTTCTGCTGACCGGATGCTGCGTCAGAACCTCCGTGCTGCTGTTCTATCGACGCCTAGTAGAAGGAGCTTGCCCCAAACCGTGGAAATGGGCTGTCTGGGTTGCGATCGCTTTTAATTATGCCTGGACGTTGGCCTTCATTTTGGCTTTGATCTTCAATTGCACACCCACAGAAGCTTATTGGAAGTCTTTCGATTTCGCCTATACTAAGAAGTACCATTGTAGTGAGACCACAATCAACAATCTTCTTGCTGGTAAGGGAGTCCTTCGCCCTTTCCCTTTAGCGTTTGCTGATCACTGTGTTGATCTAGGTATCATGGCTGTGGTCTCAGACTTCTACGCCGTCGCTTTGCCGTGCATCATGATGCGAAGATTGCAGTTACCAGTGGGCCAGAAGTTGGCCCTGTATGCTATTTTCTCTCTGGGTCTGGTTGTGGTCATGGGGTCCGCAGTAAGAACCTTTTATCTCTGGAGTGAGTATCACAACGCCTCAAGCGGCACAGAAGCTAACGACCTTCTTAGACGTTGGCCGTCAGAGCGACGTGAGCACATATATCTTCAATGTCTTCGTGTGGGCTCAGCTCGAGTTGGCACTTGGTCACCTCTGTGCTTCCGCTCCAGCACTACGAGTATTCTTCCGCAGAATGGTCACAGAGCCATTATTCAAGCTGAGGCGCTCGGTCGAGAGCTCGACTCATGGCCGAAGTACGCAAAGGACCAATAGTGCACCTAATGATGATGATGTGGAACTCGTACATTGGAAGTTGGAACTCGATCCTTACGGCCATTACGATCTCACCCAGAAATCCATGATCTCGGAAGAACGCGTCTTAGTGGGCAGTGAGTCGAGACTCTCTCAACGAAAGGGCTCTAAGAGCTCCTGGCTAGGTCCCAGACAACAGGCTCAGGTGGGAGTCCCAGAAGACGTCGATGCGGAGATGGAGGAAATACAGATGACGAAAGACGCATTGAAGGGCCGGAGACCTGGGCCAACGCCCGTTGCGAGCGCTCGAGAACCCATCGAGGAATGGCCAATATCGCCAGTTGGAGAAATCGAGCGAAATATCGTTAAGGATAGCACGAACGCGGGCTGGCTTGACAGTCGGTAGCCTGCACTACAATGCCAATATCACAGCCATAGGAAACAGCGGTAGCAAACAGAGCTTGGGAAAGAGGCAGGTACAAGGATACATGCATTGCATAAAGTTCACATGCCTAGTCGTTTTCTCGCCCCCCAGCACGTTCCCAATGGAGCGGGAACATGAAATTTCCGTCCCTCCCGTTCTGACCGTGAGATCCGGGATATACATAGATGTGCAACAATTCCAATCTATGATATCCCCAAGATGCGGGCTAACTTCGCGGGCTTGTTGTATACGATCACGTGCAAGCAATGCGCATCGCCGAAGCACCGTAATGGCCACCAAAGAAACATCAGATCACAGCTCCTCATTCCCTTTCGCATCTGCACTCCCACCTCCGAATCCAAAAGCTGCCTTGAACACTCCAAACGCCGGACCTTCATCGTTCTCATCAGCTCATCCAGTTCCTCGTCTTAAGATCCAGGTTGCTTGCCCATTGGTGGGTACTGTTTGCCCTCTCTTTCGATTTTGGGTTCACAAGTGCACCGAGACGATTCTGGGATCAAGTCCATGACCTGGTATCGCGGAGGTCAGTACATGTGAAGAAAAACGCTGGTGCGGTCTGTATACCATCGGGACGTGTTGGCCGCAGCCCCACCAAGTGCTCTTGGAGCAAGTGCCGCAGACTGCTTGTTTGCACATTTTCGTCAAGGTGTTCTGAGTTCTAAGACGGTGGGTTGAATGAGGATTGAGTCGGTCGGGTTGAGGGTGATGATGAAAGGCAAGAGTGATGGTATTTGAGCTCGATGCTGCCGCTGCCGCCGCTCCACAGAACTCCGTGGTCGCCGATCAGACGCCGACTCTCAAATGCTATTTGGGGCGGAACAAATGCGACTCGAAATGGAGAACACGAGATCCTGAAGTGACACATCTATCTCCACAGATTCTAGCAAATGCAATCTATGCTCTAATCGAAGGTAATTTTCGTCGCCGCCTTCATATCTGATGTATCCTTATAGAAAGCACCGTATGCATCGTGACTCTTCTTCTTGACTGTTGTTCCGAATTTCAAGAGTTCTTCAGGCACAGGCTGACCTGCACCTTTGAGCACGTTGATAAGCGCACCAGCAAGACCTTTCTCGTTCTGTGTGAAAAGAGTGATCGCTCGACCATCTTGACCAGCTCGGCCGGTTCTGCAGTAGCGTCAGCAATCCATCACTCTGCGGTGTCGTATTCAATATCACTTACCTGCCAATGCGGTGAACGTAGTCCTCTACTGTGAGTGGGAATGTGACGTTCACCACCAGCTTGACTGCCGGGATGTCGAGTCCTCGAGCTGCAACATCGGTAGCAACCAGGATGGGCACTTCTCCAGACTTGAATGCTGCCAAGCTCTCCATACGTTTCTGTTGGCTCAGATCACCGTGGATTCCAGCAACGTTAAAGCGGTTGCGTCGAATGAATTCTTCAATTCGAGTCGCCTCTTTCTTGTACAGGGCAAATACCAAGATGCGGTCATTCTTGTTCTTGCCCGTTCCGTATTGGTTAAGAAGGTCAAGAAGTCGGCGTTGCTTGGCCATTTCTTCGACAACTTCCACCTCTTGAACGATTCTCTGATTGGCACGTAGCTCTCCAGAAGCATTATCGCCGATCGTGATCCTTACTGGATCGCGGAGGAATTCAGCAGCGAGATCCCGTACAGAAGGTGGCCAAGTCGCGGTGAACATCACAGTCTGCCGCTCGGCACTGGGAGCACAGGAAGTGATGATCTTTCGAATATCCTGCTCGAATCCTTTATCAAGCATGCGATCGGCTTCGTCCAGTACCAGGTAGTGAGCGCCTGACAGATCAATCGACCCATCTCCAACGAAGTCGTTCAACCTTCCTGGTGTCGCAACCAAGATATGTGTGCCCTTGAGAAGTTTTCTTTGTTCGTCCTTGTTGACACCTCCGTACACACAGGTCGCTTTCAGTCCTTTCGGCTCAGCTAGCTTAATCATTTGCTCCTGAATCTGCAAAGCCAGCTCTCTTGTCGGGCTGACGATGCATACCTGTATCCTCTTCTGCTCCTTCTTGATGCGATTGATGCAAGGAACACCAAAAGCGTACGTTTTGCCAGATCCGGTCTCTGCCACCCCAATCACATCTCTTCCATTGATCAAGTACGGCCACGATACTGCTTGGATCGGAGTCGGCGCGCTGAAACCTTTGAAATATGCTTTCTTCACTTTCTCGTCGAACGCGAGGTCGTCGAAGGACAGGACTGGGCCAACATCATCTTTTTGCGAGTCTTCGACGGCGATCTGCTCCTCTTTGTAATACTTCCTTGCTTCTTCCTTGCCTACACCAGATACTTTTTTGGTGATCACGGCTTCGCTCTCGTCAACTCCATTAGCTTCTGGGACGTTGGCTGCGAGCTTGGCTGCCTTCTCTGCCTTCTTGCGTGCCTTCTTCTCTGCTTTCGCGACAGCCTCATCGTCTTCATTCGCCTCGGTCGCCTCATCCACTGCTTCTTGTGCAGCCGCAGCCTTCGCAGTCTCCTTCTTGGCGCGCTTCAGAGCCTTGCGCTCCTCTTTGGAAAGACTCCCCTTTTCTTTGGCCATGGCATCGTCTGCTGGTATGACACTGTCCCTCGGTGCTTGGATGCCATTCTTCTCAACCTTCGACCTCTTGTCCTTCTTCTCTTTCTTATCCTTCTTCACCTTCTGCTTCTTAGCGATGATCTCGTCAACTTCGGCCGCAGCCGCAGCCTCTTCTCTGGATCGCTTTGACATGACTGTGCGGGTTGGGATCAGATACAAAAATGCGAAACTTTTTTGGTCGCAACTGCCTTTTCGAGGAAGGGTCCTGGAGAATGCTTGGCGCCGGAAAAAACCTTCTCGGAATATTGAACCGAGTCTTGCACTTCTTCCGCGGCAGGTCCACACATCTCTTCTGTATATAACTACGTACCTCGTGGCTTGGTGTGCTCGCAGACGTGATTTTCCGGGGACGCTTATATAGGCTGACGGAGGTATGGTTCGTGAGGAAGTGGAGACCTTGTCTGGACCTTCATATCCTGGACCTGGAATGGAGCTCGATTGTACATGACGCCCCAAGGAACGCTGCGATGGAAATGATGGGTAGCACAGATTCTCTGGATCCTCGATTGAGCGCGGAGCAGACCACGCAATCTAATCTGGAGGTGCACCAATATCTCCAGCCACGAGCAAGACAGCCTCAGAGGACTTGCAGTCGAAACGTTTGAGCGCTTCAGGTGCTCCAGGATATGGAACCGTCCCTCTCAGTGGGATGGGCATCAATCCGGCTACCAACATTTCTACGATGCCAAAGGCACATACAAATTATGCTGTGCACCTTCTACAGTGGCCCGTCATCAGGGACCTAGTATCGCAGGCGTGCGACCCGCAAGCACTGATGCAGACTAAATTGGCACGTCCGCCGCTCGACCTCCAGCCGCCTTATTCACTAGATCTAGATCTTGCTGGCAAGCCATCGTCATATACCCGAGCGTTCTTTGAGAAGGTCAACGTGTGGTATGCCGTGGTCGATCCTTACTCATGGCACGCGCACTTCCGGACAGCTTCAGCAGTGGGCTTCCGTTCAGGCGCAGAGACCTGTGTTGTACTGCTGGTGTTGGCCCTGGGCCAAGCGGCGCATTCTGGCCACAGCATTTCTCGTCTACCAGAAGGTCAGAGTATACCAGGTCTTGAATCTTCAATGCAGCCTGGCTGGTACTGCCAAGCCTAATGATCAGGAACGATGCGCTAAGTGCTCAGTGCCATATCCTGGCGGCAGCTTATCTCTTCTACGTCGTCCGACCACTTGAGGCGTGGAACCTTCTTAGTAATGCTTCGATCAAGCTTCAGCTGCTGCTTGCCAACCAGAGTGCTATACAACCTCAAGTCAAAGAGCTCAGCGAGAGAGTATTTTGGAACGCACTCATGATCGAGTCCGATCTTCTCACTGAGTTGGATCTACCGCATTCAGGAATTGTGCAATTTGAGGATAGCATGCGTCTACCTCGAAGCTTTCCATACGATGCGACCATTGCCAGAGCGGACGAGCTACCTGGGAATGACGACCTGTGGTATTTCTTGGCAGAAATTGCGCTGAGACGCCTGCTCAACCGCGTCTCTCACATGATCTACAGCCAGAAACGCACTTCCATTTCGTCACTTGAACCAGTGGTGGTTGAATTGGATTTTCAGCTCAATCAATGGTACGAAGGACTCCCCCCATCGATACGTTTTCCTCGTGAGCGATTGCCGGCCCGCGACCAAGTTCAAACGGTCCTCCGTCTACGCTACTTTGCATGCCGCACCATTATCTTCCGACCGTATATACAAGCTGTGCTGCAAGACGAGACTCTTGCCCAAGAACCAGCGGTGCAGATGGCGTGCCGAGAGTGTCTTGAAGCATGCGTCCGACAACTTGAGAATATATCCGCACATCATGATGGACACCTGCCATATCTTTGGCAAGGAGCTCTATCAATCACCAGTCAGACGCTTTTGCTCATGGGTGCAACTCTCTCGAGCGTCCTGTCTAGCCTTCTGCCATCGAGAGCACAGATAGATGTGGTCATCGACGACGTGGTCGCCGAACTAGACAAGCTCGGTCATCTAGCGCCAAGCATCAGGCTATGTGCTGACATTGTCAAAGAAGCTGAAGACAGGAGACAAGTTCTAATGCAGAGACCGCGATGAGAGCTGCCGACACCATCTTTCTTAGCTTGGCATTACGTCACTTGAATATTCTCATCTGCTGGGGGAAGCAGACCTGAACACGCATTGCCATCTTCCAATGCCAAGACAAGACAGGCCATATTTCCTGTGGCAGTATGGCCGAAGAAACAAGACTAGCTACGGAACTGGAACTCCTCAAATCTATGTTTGCTGACCAAGTCGATTACGATACCAAAGGACGCGAAGTTGTCTACGGCACAGATTCTGGGGCGCTTCGCGTCCGACTTCCAGATGGATATCTCCAAGATGCTCTCCCAGACGTCGTTTCAGCAAGCATAGGCAAGACTGATATTCGAGACAAGATGAAACAGCGCATTGCTGGCTTTGGGCCTGGAGATGGAATTTTGGACTCCATCATCATGGCCTTCAACGAGCTCATCGATCATGTTACGGCCACTGAAAACATCATCACCGACCAAAAGATCACTCAGCCTGACAACACCTCGAAAGCCACCATTGTGGTCTGGCTACATCATTTGCTCAACACCAGCAAGCGCAAACAATGTCTTCATCCCCCTTCAGCCGGTATCTCGGGAGTAACAAAGCCCGGGTATTGTAAAGACTGTGTGTGAAATAAGAAGTGAGTCTAATGACACAACAGGTATCCGGGCGTGTTGGTGTACTCTGGTCCATCTACCGCGGTGCGCGAGCATGTCAACGAGCTTAAAGCGTTGAATTGGGCTGCCTTCCAAGTTCGACTCGAGCAGGATCATGAGTGGAAGTTCAAGCACGGCGAAGGAGTGGTCGAAGTTGAGAGTATGGGCGAGGTAGTGACGGAGATTGACGTAGGAGATGATGGGAGGAAAGATATGTTCCTGGAGGCGATGAAGATGAAGTGAGATAACTAGCTTCCGCTGAGATCTATCTCTTACTGTCTCCATCTTGCCACTGTATCCCGGACAGCTGTCCATGCTACCCTGGCGAGGACTTCTCATTAGAGTCGCCCTCCAAAGGGTGTGCTTGCCCTTGCCCCGGCCCCGTGAACACGATGGCTCTGAAAGACGACGGCTCCATGGACGCGGCGACCAGCGACACAATTTGCGATTGGGAGCTGTAGGGTGGGCGCTGCAATGCAGAGGGCTCGACATTGGACGGGCACCGCTGGCATGTCACGCCATTGAACGATCATCCTCGCATGGGAGACCGTCCAGAACAAGCCAAACTCAAGATCATTCTTGGAGCGGCGATAAACGCAACATGCGCGCCATCAATGTAGAAAACAGAGTGTAGAAATATATCCAAACCCACCCCTCATCCTTCAACCACCTTGTCTCCTACTCGTCTCCCTCAACGCATCTCTTATCCTCTCATCCATAGCCTGCTGCTCCCTCCTCTCCTCTGCACTCAAACCCCGCACCTTCCCACTCGCAGCCTCCAAATTCTCCAAATCAACCTGATCCCCTCCCTCTCGCGCCTGCTGCTCCCTCAGCGTAGCCTCCCTCGCCCTCCCCTCCTCCAACCTCCTAAACTCCCCCTCCACAACCTCATCCGCCCCCTCCTCATAAAACTCCACATCCCCCCCAACCCCCAATCTCCCCTTCCGCAAAACCTCTCCAAACTCCCCCGCAATCTCTTCCAAAGTTTTCGCTTTGTCGGAGAAAATTTTCAAATGGTCGGAAATCAAATGTTGCGTTTTGCATTGGGGGCAGTGGATGACGGTGGTGCCGAAATGGTAGGCTTGTTTGGAGACCGTGTGGGAGGAGCGTTCCAGACATTTTTTGCAGGTGAAGTGGAGCTGGTAGGCGGGCGAGAGGGCTTTTCGGGTCGCGATGGCTTCGGCGTCGGATGGAGAGGTTTCCGGGCGGTCTGTGAGGGGAGAGGGTTGGTGGTGGGGTGGTTCTTCTGTTGTGGACTGGTATCGTCGTTGTTGCGCGGGCTGGATGCGCTGTGGTGTTGGGAAGATGCGGATTTGGGGGTGATGGGTTAGTCGTGCTGGGGGATTGTATGTGCGGAAGGTTTGTTCGAGAGTGCGCTGGAACGCGCGGAGGATTCTGGGTGTGTTCATGTTGGGTTGTGTTGTTGGAGATGCAGAGGCGAAAACATCGTGAAAGTATGGCTTCTTGATGGAGGTGCAAGGGTTGTTAGTCAGCGTCTTTGGCCGGAGAGGCCTTCTATGCAAGTGGAAATCTTCGCCGTGCTTTCTGGCCTCACGTTGCGTACATCGTAAAATCGTATAGACATTAAAATCCTTAATACCATCTCCGCTCGCTCATCCTCGCTCATTGCAAAGTTCTAGAATCGGACATGGATCATATCGACAGAGTCTCCATTGCTGCTCATGTATACACCCGGCACATCTCTTCCTCCCTCTCCTACGAACTGGGAAACGCACACTGCGTTCCATTCTGAGTACAAAACGGCATCTGGAAAGGCTCAGCCTTAATTCCCCTCGCAACAAGTCGTTCCCTCATTTCCGCCAATCGAGGCGAAGCCTCGATCTGAGACCGATTCTGTCCCTGTGCATCCCTACCACCAGCCCACAAAATCTCTGCTGCAGCTGCAGTACGAGGCCAGACCTAAAAGAAAAGCCATCCAGTCAGCATCTGTACAGACTCGGAAAAGATATGATTGAAAAGTTTCTCGACTTACCATTTGATGAAAATTCACCGTATCAGTCTGCTCGCTCCAAATATGCGTTTCCCCACCAATAACCAAATGCTGTTGTTCCTGTGGCACACCATTGAGCGGATCATAACTATACACTGCCCTCCAATTGTGATACGGAGCACAATAATCCTGGAAAGGCCAGAAACCCGCTGCATTCTTGGGGTAGAAATCTAGCCATTGACCTTTTCCACAGTCCAGATACCAGTAATTATAATTTCCCGCGATGGCTTGGTATCCTGCTTTCGTCACTTTGGCAACGGCTGCGTCGGACTGCCAGGTTTGGACGATGGTATTTTTGGGCAAGGTCAAGTTCCAGTCGAGAAGCATTTCTTCCCAGACTAAAGGTGTCATGTTGTAGGATTGGACTTGTTTCATGTTTCGATCCATGAATTTTTGCATGAGGGGTTGAAGGACGGAGGATTCGTTGGATTTTACGGTGTCGTCGAGGAGGTAGGTGTTTTTGTTGACTTCGTCGCCGCCGAGGTGGAAGAAGCTGGTTGAAGGCTTGATTCTTGGGAGGAGGTCATCGAGAAGTTTGTTGAGGAAGTCGTAGACTTTGGTGGAGTTTAGTTTTAGAGATCCGCACGGGGGTTCTGCGCAGTATGTTGTCCAGTCGGGTTGTTTGTTGAATGCTGCGATCAGGTCTGGGTGAGAGTACCAGATGGAGGAAGTGTGGCCTGGCATGTCAATCTCCATGGCTACTTCTACGCCGAGGAGGGAACCATATTCCAGCACCGCTTTGACGTCTTCAGGAGAGTATTTCTGAGATGCTTCGTAGACACCCTTCTCTGCCACTTCTGGTAGGGCCGGGTTGACGAGTGGCCATGATTGAGCATCAGTAATATGCCAATGGAGGCGATTCATCTTGTTGTATGAAAGTCCATCGATCATGGCGTACATGTCGGACAGTGGCTTGAAAGTGCGCGAAGTATCGACGTTGAGTCCACGCCACCAGAATTTCGGTGCATCAGTGATAGACACAGGTGCGAGAGTCGTATATACACCGCCTTTTGAGGACTTGAAAAACAGTTGTGTGAATGTGGTAAGTCCGTAGAGTATGCCAATTGACGTCTTCGCGGACACTGTGACCTTGCCATCTTCGGATACCTCTAGCTTGTAAGACTCGTCGATCTTGCCAGCCGGTCTCCCGATATCAGCGGGATCAGCGCCATCCTGCTGCAGAGTGATGGAAGTTATGTATTTCCCGTTACTGGCATCTGGTTCAAAATCCGACAATCGTGGTCGCAATTTCCAAGGCACAAAATTCCTGCTTTCCAAAGTGTCCCAAGTCCTGTGTATAGCATTTTCGACAATCTTGTTGCCATAGCCATGGCCTCCACTGGGCTTCTGTTCCAAGTAAGTCAAGAACTCTGCATCATCAGAGGGAAGTATGCAGCTCACAGATCCAGGACCGTTGTAGGTAATATTGACCTTATCCTTGGAGATCCAAAGAACGCCATTGCCATGCTTGTATTCTGTGGGAATTGGCCAGATTGCTTGTGCGCTGGCGACCAAGAGGCCGATAAATGGTAGACTCCGCATTTTGGAACACGGGGCGAAGAAATATTGTAAGTATGCGGACGTAACGATGCAGAGAGTCAAGAGGTCAAGAGGGCGAGAGGCGAGAGGGCGAGAGCAGCAATAATAGATGTAGTGTAGTCGTATGAATAGGCTGTGTCTCGCGTGGGATTACCTGTACATTGCGAATTTGCGATGTCGAGGGAACGTAGGCGGGGGTTGTATGGATGGGTGGTCGGAGGGCAGCTTGCAACCTTATGTTTGGACCCTCAAGCTCTGGGCACCTGAGAGCCTCTGCAAGCCTCATTCGCCAGTGGTCCAGTGGTAGCGCAGAAGAATCGAGTCTTGCAAGGGAAAAGCTCGAGGGGTGTGTTCAAGACAGGAAAGCCTCGCCTGGTATGTGGGACTGCCTTCCAAGATGCCGGTCTCGTTCTGTGCAGCAATGATGCCTTATCTGTAGATTTCTTCTAGAAAACGAAGAGGACGCTCTGGTGACGTTGATGCAACGAGACGAGACGAGACGAGGTGAAGAGTGCCATCCGCTCCATCACAGGTACATGCACTCGGTGACTCCCCGTCGGCCGGCGCATATTCTACGCCACAACCGCCCAACCGCTCCGGTTACTAGTTCTATGCATAACCACCAATCATGGGGAGCCGAGCGACACCGTACCTGAAGTCAAACCCATGAGACTTATCGATCGTATTATGCCTGTTCTCACGCGGCTTTTGGAGGTGTATCATGTTCATGAAGTGCTGCCGCTTCCACAGGCGTGCGTCTGCGTCTGTGTCTGCGATGGGAAGGGAAGTGAGGTTTGTGCCGGGATCAGAAGGAATCGCCGTCAATCGTCGCACGACTCTAGGATCTCACCTTTTGTGCAACCGGTTCGCTACATCCGCATATCACGATTGCGGGTTTTAACGCAAGGATGCGCTGTCGAGGCTCGAGGCCTCATCACTTGCATTCTTTCCACCAGCGTGTCAGATTGAGGCTCATCTCAGACACGGTCTAAGACATTTCAGAGAACAATCGCCTTGCATTGAACTAACACGCCATCCCTTCTTCGTTCGGTCTATCATCGCGAAATGGGTAGATCGTTCCGGTCGAGGCCTGCAGACAGAGCCGCAAGCATCCGAGCCGATCATGGCCGGGAGACATCCAACTCTGCGACACGACCTCAGAACCCAGCCGCCGTGACTCAAAGCAGCACTGCATGCGTCAAGAAGCGGCCAGCCGCATGGATTGTCATTTGTATGGCAAGAGAAGGCTCACATCAAGAGGCTCTCTGCTGAGCGTCGAACCAACGAATATCATGGCCTCGGGACCTGCGGCGACGAGATGTACAAAACTACCTACGAGCTAGTCAGGTACTGGTGCTAATGCTAGGAAAACTCAAATGACAGCGCACAGCGTACGTCAAGGGACGGCATGCTGCGTCAATTGTGTGGAATGCAAGCTTCGAAGCGAAGTACCTCGTGCGATTCTCCACGTTGCTTCTCGCTGCGTCGAATTCTGCGATAATTGGGGTAGAAACATGGAGAGTGAAGTCGTCGATCATTTCATGAAGCTGTGACCGACAATTCTAGCAGTCACGTCTAATGAGTGCATAATTCAGACCTGCAACAATGAGCGCCAGGTGCTCCATCGTTCTTTCAGCTCCACTCTGGCTACTTGTGCTCATGTCCTACGACGAGCGCCCTACCAAGATCATCATTAGCAAACAGCTTGATCAACGTCTTGTGCACGAAACTCACATTGCTGAATCTCCTGCTCAGAAAGACGTCTAAGCTTGTTGATAGCTGGTGCCTCTCCCGTGACAATGCCCTTAGCCACCTCGACAGTGCCAGTGATGATGTTCTTCCTGCTGACAGCGTATTGAATGGTCTCAGACTTGATCTTGATGAGACCGATCCTTGGATCCTCCGGACCACCGTCGTGCTTTCCGTCACCGAGATCACCCAACCAAGCCTTGAGCGCTGGAGAGTAGTACTCTCGGACCTTCGCACGATCGGTCTCGACAGTGGCTTTGCCGGAGATGGATGCCCACTCGCCAGCAGAATTGAGAAAACCGAGATTAATGTCTGGGTTTGCATCGAGATCGTCGGTCTTGCCAGACTCGGTGTTGGTGTGGAAGATGAAATCAACGCCGTTGCCCTCCTGGTCCAATATCAGTATCGTGATGCTTCAGTCGCTATCTTTGCATGGGCCACGCCTACCTTTGCTGCCAATGCCATGCATCTGCTTGCAAGACGGCCTTGAGCGTTCTTGGTAGTCATCATGCAAAACTTGGCCTTGTCGACGAAGTGTACGAGATCGTCAACCTTCTCCTTCAGTGACGGGTCTTGCTCATTCTTTGCGACATATGGGTCGGCGGTCTCGGAGCCGGTCTTGGTGTTGCTGAAAGACATCTTGGCGGTAGCGGTTTGAAAGGGTGCAGAAAGTGGTCTGGAGTATTGTGTCAGGTTTGAGGTCTGCTTTGAGAGCTGAACACAAGTGGATGGAAACGTCGCTGATATGCACTTCACTCTAGCAACGCGAGTAGCACTGCGGACAAGGGACATTGTGAAGTGAGGATGAAGCGATGTTGTGTTTGAGGTATTGTCGAACTTTTCGAGACCCACGTACCAAAGTAATTTTAGTGTTAGTTGCAGTCGAACAGTCAAGTTGTCATGAAAGGATCAGACAGGAAAGGAGAGAAGCAGTCACTTTTTGGCGTTGGTGGAATGAATGCCCCTCTATGACGCTGACGTATAGTTGACGCCAAAGGTATCCATCGTGCTTGCTGATCATCTCCCCGCTCAGACGGAACGAAAACAGACCACCGCACCGTCGCACATGGGAGCTGCAGCAGATCAGATCGGGAGGCTGAGGCAGGAGCCGCATCTGAGATGCTGGACTGAACTCCGGTGCCTACCATTGGCAGCGACGCCCAAAAGACGGCAGTGACAATTACCTCCTATGTCCACGGCCACGAATGCCGGTCTCCAGCTTTTGCGGGAATCGCTCGGCCTTCCTCTCGTTTGGCAAAGAAATGCGTCGACACATTGAACTGATCCGCGTCGTGGAAGATCGCGCCATTTACCTGAAATGTCTTGCATCTGTGCTCCACTTCGGGCCGGGCAACGCAAGCTTGTTGAAGGCGTTTCTGTGACTCCGCGTACTGCTCGAGAATTGCTGTTCATCGATTGTTGGGCGCATTGAGACCCGCTAGTCGATTTTGAGCGACCCGTATATCCTATGTACAAACACCCAGCAGGCGAAGAAGCCGATGGAGCCTGCGCAATGCGTTAGTACGAGTCAAATTGACAAAGAGCATCGAAAGCTGTACTCACCACTAAGCAGGAACCACAGGAAACTCAGCAATATTGAGTACCCCAGAAATAGTAGTCCTCCGGTGAAGCTGCTGAAGCTGAGCATCCTGGCCCAGTACAGAAGGCTGTAGGCGAATACGTATCCGGCACTAGATCCACTGCTTGCGAAGGCTCTCCATTGCCAGTGGTAATTCTCGGAGCAGAGCAGGAAATAAATCATCAAGATCGTAACAGCTGCGGACGTGACGATGAGCAGGCCGAAGCTGAGAAAGAGGAAGCCGAACATGTAGTAGATCCGATTGCTCCAGAGTGAGTTCATGATGAAGTACAGCTCGACAAAGATTGCGCCAAAAGGAAGGACCCCAACCAGGAGCATGCTTGGGACCAGACGGAGATAGCCTCTTGAAGGTGGGATCTGTCGTGGGATCTGGTTCGTGCGGACTGGTGGATCGGGCATGGGTTGACGAAATCCTACCCAGGAGCCTGCCATGGATAATGGAAGTGATATCACGAACCAGATACCGATGATAACGAGCATGGTCGTGAATGGGACCGCGCCGGATGATTGACGAGCCCAGACGAACAAGTTTAGCAGGAAGAAGATCGAGAAGACGAACACCGGTACCGCCGAGGGAGTCAGGACGAAGAGCTGCTTCCACTTGGTGCCTTGAAAGCCTTTGTAGACTCGAGAGCTGACGTATCCTCCAACGAAGCCGAGGAAAGTGTAGAGGAGGATCATGACGGTCGCGAGGCTACCGCGATTGCTTGGCGAGAGGAATCCCACAACCGCAAACGCGATCGTGAATCCAGCCATCATGAAAAGCTGTGCTCCGTTGCCAACCAGGATCGACAATGCGAGAGAGTGCTTTGGAGGACGGAACACGTCGCCATGGACCAGCTTCCACCCACTGTCTTCCTGAATATCATCGACAACACTGTTTCCGTTGAAATCGTCCAGTCCCAATTGATCCAGCCTGTTATATCGTGCAATGTCCTTCCTAAGCGTCCTGACCAAAATCGTACTGACCATGCCAATCAAAAACATGACAATGACAGCGCTGTTGATCAACGAGAACCAGTGTATCTTCGGGTCGAACACATGCAAGTATTTGTCCCACCTCGTCGCAAAAGTCGTCGGTGATTTGATCCAATGAATGCTGTAAGTCCAGAGCACTCTCGTCCTATCCTGCTCCGAAAGAGTAAGCGGGGCTCCTCCCGCACCACAATCCGCAGCCATATCATCACCAGTCCCCGTCCTCTTCGAATCTCTGCGCGAAGACGGCTCCACCAATATGCCCACCACGCGGAACTCGTTCTTCCTAACCTGATGATAATCCACGTAAATGTCATAGTGATTGTTCAGATGCGGCTGCTCATTCTCCACCTTTCCCAGGGTGAATCCAGGCTGGTAGAATTCCGTGTTCGTGTCCTGATCCAGATAATTCTGCGCGGCAGGTAGTCCGTCGATGAGCCAATTCACGATGTAGTTTTGCCAGATCCTCCTGTTCACGAACTTGCTATCCCGTGGCTCGAACCATACCTCGTCGCATACCGCCCTGCATGTCTCGTTGACCTCCATGCGCAAATTATATGGTGATGTCAAGATTCGGTCCCCGAACAGTATGCTGCCCAGCGACTCTGATATATGTTGCAGTCCATCTTTTGGCTGGCAAAAGTGGAAGGCTGGGTGGTAGTAATCGAACGAGAAGGCTGATCGAATCTGGGTATCGCGGGCGGATTGTCCAGGTGTTAGGTGGTTCACGTTCAATGGGACGAGGTCGCCATGCTTGTAATTTGTCGGCGTGATTCCTGGGAACGAGCATAGTCAGCATACAACTATCTGCCTGGGTGTGTAGAGCGTGGTCTGGTATGGAAAAGGCTTACCGGGGAGATAGAAGCCGGACACACAGCTCGCCGATATGAGCGCGAGCAACGGCGCCGGCAGCTGTTGAAGCCTCATCGTGTGCGACTGCGTGGCAGAGAGGAGGGAGATATTGCTCAAATGCGACTCGAAGTTGCCCAGGTGTCAAGCTGCTAGGTAAGCTCTATTCTACGCTCCAGAGCTCCTGTGACGCGCGGCTTGGCGTTGGGCTTCGTACGCTTCGTATGCTGACAATCTCCTTTGTTCGATGAGATGGCGCTTGCGGATCAATTTATGCTCAATTCTCAGTTAGGGGATGGATGCTTGTAGAATTACAATAACATGCCATGCGAAATAGTGTGGACGCTGCGTGAGTGCGATGTTCAGGTCTACGATTTCTACGATGCCATTTTCTATCTGTGGCGTGGCTGGCTGACCGACAACACAGCCACTCTTCACTTTTCAACCCCTGCCCGTGGCAGATCGGGACGCATGGACTTTGTGCGAGATAATATCACAAGAGAGCGACCTGTGCAGGGTGACTGCTACGTTGTGATTCCTACAGTCCTCAAGAGATATTCATGACAAACAAGCAAAATATTCGCGTCATAACAAACCGTCTCTCATTGAAGCCAAGAACGTGGCATAGCTTCGTATCTGGGTGTGCTGATGCTGATGCTCTATATACTCCAGTCCTTTTCCATCCCGCGCCTCGCAATGCCAATCCAAACTCTGCGCGTACGCGAGTGCACTCAATATCCATTTCCCAAAAGCCACCATGTACAAGAAGGTAAAATTGTCGTAACGCCGTGTCCAGGTTTGCCTGCTCTGAAAGCAACGCATCAAACAGGGCTTAGCTCCTTCACGAGGTGTAGGTCTTGTATGTGGAGCCGTAGGACGATGGCTCAGAGCCGCTAACCAGAAGTCCGTCCTTGACCATGAAGTAGGCGTAGCCAGCAATGTTCGAGTTGCTGTCCATCCATGGCATAACTTCCTCGAGAAATGATGCAATCTGGTCATCAGAACCAGTGGCACCGAACTCAGAGACGTAGATTGGCTTTCCGTTGGCGATTTTGATGGCCTGCTCGAGGTGCGACTTGAAGTCATCGGCGTTCTCGGCAGAGTCGTACCAGTGGATGTTAAAGCAGTCGATCTGGCAGTCTGTGCAAGCGTCCAAGAAGTTCTGGAGCCAAGTAAGACCCATCTCACCACCACCGTTGGTGACGGCTGGAGCGCAGAGCTGGGCCTGACCCTTGAAGGGGTTCATGTATGTGACGTATGCAATGGCAGCGGCAGCGGCACCAAGATTAGCCTGAGCGGAGTGATCGGGCTCGTTGAAAGAGAAGAGGTGAGTGGAGCCGGCGCTGATGGCAGACTTGGCGTTCTCGCTCCAGGAACCAGTGAACTCAGAGGCAGTACCCCACAGAGTTGGAATGAAAGTGAAGCCATCGTCGAGACCATCGCTGGAGGAACCCCAGTTGTAAGCCCAGGAGATCTCGCGAGCACCTGTGAAGCAGGAAGTGAGGCTGGCGTCGTTGTAAGCGAGACCACGCTTTCCTCCAGCAGATGAGGCGGCAGAGCTGTAGCTTGGAGCGGCAGATGCAGTTGAGGAAGCACCTCCGTAGTTGTCAACGCCCTTGTTCACCACAGAGTAATCTGCCAATGCAGCGGAGGACGAGGTTGAAATGGGTGCAGCAGAAGTTGGTGCAACTTCCGTGCTGGAAGACGCTGGTGCCGGGTAGGCTGGTGCAGAGGAGGCCGGGACTGGAGCGGGCTCGCTGCTAGATGGAGCGGAATAAGCAGGAGCGGACGGCGAGGAAGTCTCGACGGGTGATGCCTCAGATGAGGAAGGTGCGGAGGCTTCGGTCACATATTGGGTCACCTTCTCAGTGCTTGTGACAGTCACAACACGGCAAGAATCGGAGGCTGCTGCAGCGACGCTGCTTGCTGCGGATTGGTGGGCGACGTGAACGGTCTGGTAGACAGTCTCAGTGTGAATCACATGCTCAGTCGCGGTGTTGTAGCCAATGGCAGATGAAGATGCCGCGGAAGATGAAGCGGCAGATGGGAGTCCAGTCGAAGCCCAAGGTGCAGTGGCATTGGCGGTTGGGTATGCGTATGGTGCGCCGGTGCCAGTCGCATGGGCAGCGCCGTCGTTGCTCGAGTGGAGATACTTATGAGCCATGTGGCCATGACGAGAAGCCAGAGCGGTCGAGGCAAGCGCCAAGAGTGAGAGGCGAGTAACAGGCGACATGGTGAAGTGTGGTGAAGCGTGGTGTCGTCGTATTGGGATGTGGATATGCAAATGCTGTCGATGTCGATTGGTGCTGTTCTATCGCGTGCGCGAACGCAAAGAAGGAGCTGCTACTAGAGCGGCGAGTGTTGTGACTGCCGACCAGGGCAAGTGCGAATTTTTGTCTGGTAGAAATGAATGTGATGCCCGAGGTTGGAGGGTGAGAGAGGGTACGAGCGAATGCTCTTGCAGTGTGGCAGCAAGTGTTGTAAGGAAGGAGAATCGAAGCACCGAGATGGAGAGGAAGAAAAGAAGCAGCGCAGAGTAGTGGTAGTGTGCCATGGCCATGTGCATGCACAAGCGCAGTCGGCTAGGCGCAAGGATGCATCAGCGTTCAGGCCCTGTCTACTTGCAACAGGTTATAGCATAACCTGGCCGTAGATTATAACAACTCTTCCAATAACCAACCTGTCTTATATAACAACGATTATTGAATCGTTGGTTATCGCTGTGCTCGTAAACTCGCTGAGATTATGCTATATATAGTATAATTAGTATAACTAACTCTTAAGGAGCTTTTAAGCCTATCCGTGCGCTCTATAGACTTCCGGCATAGCGCCGCAGTATCTACCTCTTTCTACGTCTTGTAAAAGGAGCTATATAGCGGTCGATAAGGTATAAGGCGGCGGAGGTAAAGAATAAGGTACAATAGAGCGATTATTAGCGGTCGTGTTATCGGTAAGCGCTATTGCTAGCACGATACCGTTATTACTCGAAGAACTACCTAAATTGCGCCGCCGTACGATATATCGACTACTAGGACGAAGGTCGGTTCAAATAGACCGTAATAAGATAGAAAGCGAGGCATTTCGAGTGCTATATAGTCTGCCGAAGTACTATTACAAGCGTACGAGGTTAAAGCAACCGGTATTGCGCGCGTTAGTAGAAGAGCTGCGGAAGAATAGTTTAGAAGGCAAGAATAGGAACAAATACTCTATTAAGTTACGAGTTATCCTTTTCCTTATTATAGTCGGATATAATAGGAGCCTTAGCAACCTTGCTAACGACTTTAGTATAGCAAGAGAGACACTACGAAGGATAATCTATACCGTGTCGCGCTGTTTGTATCGTATAGCGAAGGAATAGATTAAATTGCTACGAAAGGACGATAAACCGCTATAGTCTAAGAGTGCCGATAGAGGCAAGTTCTAGCTATATTTTAAGGGCGTTATCGGCGCTATCGACGGCACCTTGTTAATAGCTAGTCTACCGAAGATTAACAGCAATCTATAGCGTTGTCGGAAGGGCTATATTATATAGAATGTAATAGCCGCCTACGACTCGTCTTTGCGCTTCTTATATATAATACCTAGATACGAAGGGTTAGTAACGGATAGCACTATATTAAGGAAGGCCTATTAGTTAGGCTTCGACGTACTAGATAGCTACTTCTATCTTACGGACGGTAGATATTCCTTTAAAGATCTACGGCTCTTAGTGCTATATTAGAAGACACGATATTACCTTTGTAAGTAAAGCGAGGCGGAAGAACGACCGACTAATTATCGAGAGATTTATAACCTCCGCTATGCTTAGCTTCGTAACTATATCGAGAGGGTGTTTAGTATTATAAACAGGCGGTTTAGGCTTATTAAAGAGGGACTAAATAGCTAGTCGATTACCTAACAAAGTCGCTTTATCGTCGCCTGTTATATTATTTATAACTTTATCCTATCTAATAGTCGATAACCGCTGTCTTTAGAGCTAGGTCTCCTTCTAACTAACGCTAAATTAAATGCCGCTCGAGAGGCCGATACGACGGCTAAGGTTTACGTCGATAATAGGCGCTACGCCGAAGAGGTTAAGGATAAAAGTTACGCTAATTATCGTAATAGAATAGCGAGGTAGATGTATACTAAATATAACGGTAATTAGTTAAGAACTGGACTTAATATAAGGGCTTAAAAGCAGGAGGTGCTACTTAGAGTACGGCGAAGGATGTAATAGGGTTTAGTAGATAGTTATAGAATACAAAGGCTATAGCCGGGGTTTAGCTTTTAGTAAGAAACTTAGTGTAGATTCGAATTCTAGGCTTAAATCGTGCATTTAAGGAACATTACTATCGCCTCTTCCGCGGATAGGCTCTTCTCTAGTCGAAATTATAGTAGGGTTGAATTCGTAGGTTCTTAGTAAACTTCTACGATACTAGAGTTTAGGTTAATAGGGCATAGCTTTTTTTTATATAATAGCACCCCGCACGTAACTACATTTTGCTAGTAAAAATTAATAACACCTCTACACAAATCAATAGTATAGCCGTTAGCGTGCATTTACACTGAAATTCTATCCTAATCTACGAATTCTCGCATCGAATAGCACTAAATATATACTTCTTCTGCTATTTCTAATTATTGTTATTAACAACAACCTATTGCCTATATCCTAATAGTACGTATCTACCTTCTATCTGTTGCAGATATATATTCTAACGGATATTAGACTTAATGTCCGTTAATACAGATAGGAAGTACTCCTTAAACTGCTCCTAGTTTATACTCGAAGCGACCTTATAATAGTTAAATTCCCCGTTCTTCTTTGCGACCTCGCGTACTAATAATATACGATTAGCTATCGGTATGTCTATATTCTTGAACGTCTTCTTATCTAGCAGCCGCTTTGTAACGTTACTAACGACTAAACTAGCCTTAGTAGCGGCTAGCGCATTAGCGCGTTGCTCGTCCGCTAGTTTCTTCGCTAAAGTACGTTCTTCCTTGCTATCCTTTACTACCTCCGCGACTATTAATACTATCGGCTCGAAGACCTTCTATAACGACTTTACAATAGTTAGATTCTTCTCGTTTATATCCTCCGCCTTCTTATAAACCCGATCGGCCTCCTTCTGCATCTTCTTTTAATGCTTTTCCGCCGCTTTAGTAGCGCGCAATACTATTAATTGCTCTTCTGTAAAGGGCGCGGAAGCCGCGCCTTCCGCCGTAACCTTAACCTCCGATTCCTTACCCTTACTACCCTTATCCTCGCTTTCTTTACCGAGGGCCTCGTTAGTCGCTATATAATCGCCTATAGCTACCTCTAAGCCGATTAATTCGTCTATAATATCGAAGTGCTCTAGCAATTTATTACAGAAGGGAGTATACCTTAGATTCTCGTCGAAATAGGCGTCTTCTACGTCCGACTCGGCGGTTAGAGGCATACTATTCTAGCTACTTATATGCTTTAGGTAAGTAATCTATATACTCTAGTCCTTCTTAATTGACGACTACTTATTCTTTAGGTAGTCCGTAGTGCGCTCGGTACTATATTTCTTATTTATTAACGTAGCTAGGTCTCGGAGATTACCTAACTAGAAGTTATTAGTATCGGTGCTACGGCTAATCTTCTTAAACTCGTTTAACTAGTCGAGGAAGTACTCGGTCTACTCTTAAGTCTACTATTGTAGCGCTTTACGCTGCCTATCTTTATTAATAGGTGTTGTAGTCGCCGCACGCTTCCGAGTCGCCTTTGCCTTTAATAAAGAAGGTATCTTTAATAAAGCCTAAGAGGGCTAAGAATCCGTCGATTAAGAGACTATATTTGCTAGTATTCGAATAGCTTTAAACTAAGAGACTAGCTGCTCGACTAACCGTATATTTATATAGTAACTATACTACAAACTACACTCGCCGAAGCACTCGTCCTCCCTGCCCTTTGCCTGTCGATTTACTACCTACTACGCTGTTATCGATATTATTATAATAAATACTACTAGAAGCTATATAGCCTACTATAAAGAGGTAGAGTGTAGCTGCTGAGCCGGAGGCTTATTATGTGGGTCTTAACACCTGGCACTGTCTCATAGATAACCGATTATAAGTCGCCATAATCTGAGCCGCTTATGAGGTTATTATAATCTCTCGGTTTACGCCATAACCTGTTGCAAGTAGACAGGGCCTCAGGAGATGATGCCTTTCTGGCGCTGGCAGAGACGTGGCCGCTGTGGGCCTTCAGCAGTGCGTGCGTCGTTGCGTTTCATGCTGTCCGTGTGTCGTTGGCCACGCAAGCGATTGCCACCGAAGCGAAGATGAACGGAGCGACGCAGCAGCAGCGTCAGCAAAACGTCGAATGATTGAAGGGCGACAGACCCACCTCTCGCCGGCGTCTGCTGTGTGCCTGTGAGATCGCCCGACCATCTCTCCTGTTAGGCTGTTCCTGGCAGACTGCTCCATTTTTTCCGCTGGCGACTCGACGCTATCAAGAAGAGCCTCGCACCGATGTGGACCTCCGTTGACGTTGATGTCGCGCGATGTGATTGGTCTCCCCGGGGAAATGAACGAGATGAAACGCTCAGTCAAGTCAGCCTCCTCGCCCATCACCCGGCGCGGTTTCGCGTGCAAGCCAAACGCCTTTTGCAGAACAAGTGTGCATCGGAATGCACGAGGTCGTTGCGATGCGGTGTGATGAAGATGCGCTTCGGTTCGCGGTGTGAAAGCACAGCCTGCCCTGCCTGCCCTACGAGACGAACTCAGACTCGCGCAGACTACTGCATGCTCCATCTCTGAGACTGCCGCCGAACGGTACAGTGTGCCATGAACAACTCCGCACCTTCTGGAGTCGCCTCGGCATCCTGAGCCAAGCGCATGAACACTCAGCATCTTGCGCTTGCCGCCGCTTTCTTCCTTCCTGCGGCAACATCTACGACTGTACAGTGTACCGAAAAGAAGTCTGCTTCGCCAGACAGTAGTGCTCCGAGACATCTTGATGCAAGGCGTTCGCCTCTTGCAGAACAAGTGTGCAACCCATCCGAGACACTTGTGAACACCATCACATGCCTCTCCATGATGACAGCCACGTTGGTCAATTCCAATGCACCTATTATTGCAAATTCAGCTGATCAGCAGAAGTCATCCAAGCGAGCTAGAGGTAACCTGTGATAAGAACACCACTCCAGCCTTTCTTCTTCTTGACCGCCTTGACATTTGACTCGCTACGACTGAAACACCCACGTGTAACCAAAAAGCAACATTATCGCAAACCTGCTTTGAAGTCGAACATGCATGCATGCATAACGAGAGCGAGACTCGGGAACCAGGAACACAAAAATCCGAAAGACATCATCGTGCGCCCAGATCAGTGCAAAGGCCAACTGCTGAGAGAAAAGTGATAAGCCAATATATATTGGTGTGCGCAGCGGGTGCTGAGACACACATGTCCAGCGTCAAATATTTCATCACAGCGCTTTCGAGGTTCCAACACACTCGCTCGAACCATCTCGATTCGTCAAGCACACTCAACAAGAACTTCCGTGCTCGTGCCAGCGCAGCACTTGTTAACAATGAATTCATTCATCTTCCCTGGGGTATCTAGCTGATGTAGTGCCTTCCTCAACCAGCTACGTTCCTGATGCTACAGGTACATCACATTCCCAAAGCGCCTTCGCTGCCGTGCTCCTCCCATGGCCATGCTTTTCGCTCGTGCCGTAAATGCTGTGCGTCGAGTATCGTAACACATCTCCACTTCGTCTTCCTCAAACGCCATTCCCAATGCATCCAAAAAACCACTCATGCCAGGTATTTGTACGAAGCTACAGGTGCGTCTTCCATTCGCTCAAGATACTCACGCTCGATCAAGCTCTCGATGCGTTTCTTGATCATGTTGACGTCCGGCTTGAACTGCGATGACAGCACGTTGAGCGTCTCAGTGAGCAGCTGCGCGTGCGCGAGCATCTTTCGCTGCTTCATGATACGCACCACGGCAGCCTCGATCTGGAAACCACGGGAGTCGTTGTTCTTCTTCTCCGTTTCCTTCCGCTCCTTGTCGCCTTCTACCTTATTACCAGCAGACACCACGCCAACCTTGATCTTGACGCTGGCCGGCTTGTACTCATCATTGAGCTTGAAATTGTCCTTCGCATTGATTTCGCGGGACATGGGCTCTTTGGTGAGGAAGCGAGTCTTGGGCGCTACGGCAAGGGATTGCAGGTTCCGCTTCAACGCGTTGAGCGGCACATTGGTTCGCGCCTGAATCTCTTCCAGCGTGAGCGTTGTGCCTGGTGGAAGCTTGTTGAAGAGGAGAAGGACAAGGGCAGCATAGGTGGAGCAGTTGACCTCGTGCACCCGCTGTGACCGTGGGAATCTAGCCTTGACATCGACGTCGCCCATGCTGGTCTGCCAAGTCAGCTTTCGGCCAGAGTGCTTCTCAGAGTAGAATCTCTCAAATCCTTGGCGAACCCTGTCGAGTTCCGCTGGGTAGATGAGCTGCGCCTTGTTCTCCGGATCATCTTCAGACGAGATCTTGAAGGCTTCGAGTGGCCAAGTCATTGATGTCAGGATGTTGACTGTCAGGTCGACACGTGTGCGATCCACATCGCCGAGACCAGCAACTCGCTTGCGATAGTCCGCAGTGAGCTCCTCGCTAATAGTCATGTCCTTGAACATAGCTTCAAGCTTCAGCGTAAAGCTGTTGCCAAGCTCCATCTTCATGCGAGCGATCATTTGCTTCTCGACTTCGGTACTCTGGCTCTTCTTGAGCAATAGACGCTTGCAGAGATGCTTCTTGTAATAGGTCTCGAAGATGTCCTTGTCCTGAAGGTATCGAAGTAGAATGATCGCCTTCTCAAGTGTTTGGTCTACTTCCTGGTCGGTCCTGTCTTTGATGCCCTTCTTCATGTTGTCATCGATGAAGAGCGAGATGTATTCGGGTGCTCGACTGAAGGCATTGATGTTTTCGCCCATACTACGAGTGAGAGCAGTCGAAATGCTTTGGTCTTCGTTGAAGGAAGTCTTCCAGATTTTATCGAATCGGTCCTTGAGCTCCAGAACCTCTTCCACCCACTTGAGGGCCGCAGCAGTCTGCTGATTGATCTGCTTCGTGTTGCTCTTAGTCTTCTCGCCTTCGCCCTCCTCAGCAGCAGGCGGGGGTGCAGGAGGCGGTTGAGAGGCAGTGTTTGCTCCCTCATTGATCTTGGCGCCCATCTCGGCCACGATCAGTTGCAGAGCCTTCGTAAGCTCCGGCTTTTTGGGATCAACGCGCGCTTCCAGGTCAAATACTAGATGAAGTTCGTCAAACTTGTCATTGTCGACCATATACCGTACTCCGCTTTCCATTTCGATAAGTCCCTTCATCTTATTCCGGATGAGCTCATCCTCCACGACTCTTTGGATCTTTAACGCCGTTGTTTCCAGCAACGTCGATCTGCACCGGTCGCCCTCCTCGTCTATCCGCCGCTTCGCATGCTTACAATATGTGCCAGCATCAGACTCTTTCAGCAGCCGCTCACCTTCTTGTCGATAGAAGCGAGCGCTGCTCTCCAAGAATCGCGGCTCAAAATCGCGAAGATACAGCTTTTCATCCTCAATCTCTTGATCTGAGTCGTACAGTCCTTCCAGCATGTACACGACTGACTTGATTAGATATGGCTGGATAGCCTCGCCATCTCGGTCCATCTGGATTTGGTCGAGTATTAGATTGGTGAGGTGCTCGAGGAGGTCATCGCTATTCGGTCTTGGTGGAGTTCGTAAAATCTGATCGCGAAAAAGCCCCATGGACTTGGTAAAAATGGGAGGCTGACGGTGGTCGGTGCAGTAGACGCGGTCCATGTACATCAAGACATCCGTCAGCATGCCCATGCAGACCTGGTGATCCTGCCACGCTGTCTTCAGCTCGTGGAGAAACCTCTCGCCCGCCGCGAGCCGCTCTGAAATGGTAGCCAGTGAGCGGGCACCGAGATGGTCGGAAAGCTGTAGCGGTGTTGTAAGGTATTGTGTGATATTCGGCCGCACTGTGTCTCCTAGCCACTTCTCTTCAAAGCCCGCGACCTTGTGATAAAGCTCCTGGCCCTTCTTCTTCAACACGATCTTGTATGCCGCGCGATACAGCTCCTCGAATGAGAGCGCAGATGCGTTCTTGGTATGGATTTCGGTGAAGGCCTTCTCCAGTGTCTGCCACGTCACCTCGAAATCGACGTCGGCGCCGTTAAGGCCCTGTGAATCCGCCATGGTCAGTAGGTGCTTAGGCAGGAAGTGCGAGTATTTGTCACAGTTTGGACAAGTTTAAGGTGGGGCGTTTCTGATTGTCGCAAGCCCCATGGCCATGCACAAGCGCGCGGAAAGCACAGTGAAGAGTGAAGTGAATTGATTGTGATGATTGACAGTTTACGTACTCTACGCGGCGGGCGTATCTTGGTACGACCTCTGCCTGCGAGCGAGGCCATATCGCCGTCCTTCTTTCTTTGTCTCTCAGCGTCGCCAAATGTGTCGGTCCTCGGTGTGTAAGGTGGAGGGGCAAGGCTGCCAATGAACAGTGCGCGAGTGTCGAAGGGGGTGTGGCGATGCGTAGGAGAGGAGAGTGCGACGGAGTGGGAATGCACAGGAGGGAACGGAGAGAGGCAAGCGACAATGAAGCGTAGGTGAAGGTAAAGGTGGTCGAGGTATGCGAACGGATCGCCGAGTGTGAAGCTGGAATGGTGGCGCTGCTAGAGAGTTGCAATCCCTGCAAACGCGTTCAAGGGTCCCGCGCTAGCACGGCACGGCAGCACGGGCACGAACATTCATGCAATGCATGCATCTCTTTTGCTTGTCAACTGCGACAACACAACCAAAGTTTGCTAACATCTCAGACATACATCACAAGGAAAACACTCAGACCTGAGGGTGCAGGGCAGACGGTCTCTTGCCAAAACATGTCCAGCTATACGCAGTGGGGACGCGTCTTTGCTGCTCGTTTCTCACTGGAAAGAAGACATTTTACATATCTTCACTATGCGGACACTGATTGCGATTGGTATGCGATTTAAGTCTCGCGATGCGAAGAAAAAAAGATCCGTTATCAATCAATCGAAGGACATGAAAGCTACGGGCGAGCGAACAGGGGACGGAGATGCAACAGGCTGAGTTCTCAGATGAGGCGGCCGGGGACATGCGCAGTCTAAAATGAAAATCTTTGGCGCTGATCTGGAGATGAAGTGGTCGACGATTCCTGAGCAATTGTTTTAGCGAGACATTGAGCGGTCCTGACAACGAACCAATTCACAAACTGGCTACAGTTTTCCTTCTGCCAAGCGATACCTCATCAACACCTCCCCAGCCGACCGAGTAACAAAGCGACGTCAGCCCCTCTGTCAGGGTCGGCTCGGACTGGTACCTTTCGCTTTCGGTCTTCACTACAACCACTTGAGCCTTCTCAAGACCTGCCATCTGAGGATTGATGCAGAGCAAGCGAACATTGGCCCATTAGAGTATGTTGGAGAGGAGGCCTTGGAGAGGATGTATGAGCTTTCATAGAATTTGTTCTCTGGGAGCCGATGTCCTATGGCTGCAGTGATTAGTGGAGCTCATTGCGACTGATTGAAGTCGCATTTTGACGAGACAGGGTATACCGCTGGTCAAAGGGTTCCATAAATGCTGGCGACAATTTGGTATGATAAATATGGTCTATGTAGACATCAACAGCATGATGTGGCCTGATTTGAGACCGTGCGTGATTGTCTCCGACTTGATATCGCATTAAGACGCGACTCTAACACTTCAGTCCGAATTTCGCATAGTTTCAAAACATCCTCGCTTCGTGTTTTGATTCTGGTAATCGCACAAGGCAGAAGCAACAGAAACACCGCCGTTAAACGCCACTCGGAACAATTGAGGCTCTGGTCATCGCATTCTTCGAATTCTTAGTGACCCTCACGTCTTGTAGGCGCCTAGACCATGAGCTCGTCCGGACTATGTCCTGGTATCTACAGGGCATGCTGTTCTGCGTTATGGTCCTTCAAGTAGTGCTGTTCGCCTCTATCGATATTCGGTCGCATCTTTCGAGTACACATACGCCGCTTCCACGATGTCTCCGAAAGGCATGGCAATCATCGGTACCGGGCTGATGACTACTGGTCGTGTTGAAGCTAAATCGATCTTGAGATACCGAGGCCTCGGATCGTCGAATCTTGTATCATGCGACAATAGTCGCCTGGGGTCTGTAAATGGCTGACGTGATGGTGCTGGCCGTGTCTTGAGTTCTTGTTTGATTCCTTGGCAAGGGACCGGCAGGGACACGATCTTCTGCGGCCTTGACTGCTTCTCGACCTTGATCTGTCATCGGGTTGTGAGTCGAAATTGAGAATGTTAGTATCATGAGAAAGACATACAATAGGTCCGACTTCAGCCGTGGGCTGTTTCGAGTCCATAACAGCTGGTGGCTTAGATACTGTCCGCCTATAGAGCGCCGGATGTGTAGCGACAAGAGCCGGAGGCCGCATGGTTGCTGCACGTGATCGATGTTGGTTTTTGGATGCCTTGGAAGATGCTATTGTTGAGATGGGACTCCTATTGTGATATGACTGTGTTTCCTGAATATCGAATGCTGCCTGGTCTGGCTGCAATTGAGAAAAGGCATGCTGTGCAGACTTGGTGAGACAGGTGCGAGTGTGGGGCACAGCGCACTTACTTCGAGCAGTTTCGCTCCAAATTCACCTTCCATCGCAGCCGAAGAGCCCCGATGCCCAGAGCTATGAGGCGAGCTCTCGCAAAGATTCTGATGATGATCGTCGTAGAATTCCAGAGGGCTGTCGGGAGGGCTTGGTAGCCACTGGGTGTGGTACAGCGGTGGCGGTGCTGGTGTAGCAGGCAGCGCCATCTTCCATGCGTCATCTGTTGGCACACCACGATCAAGGCCAGTCTTTGAAGTTTCCACAGACATATCATCCGGTGGGGTGATGATGACAGCAATGAACTCAGCCGGTACGCCAGATAGGAGGCCGCAAAAGACGTGAACAGGTCTGTAGCAGTCTGCACGGCCAGGATTCGTATGAATAAGACCCCAAGCGATGATAAATTTTGTGTGCCTGGCAAGAGTGGACCAGCTTGTATAGTGGTGAAAAGGTTGGGAAGAGGAAGAGGCAGGATCGTGGGGAGTGCGGGACTGATGAGGGACTGAATGCATGTGCGCAGGATTGGCACGTGACTTTTGCACACTCAGGCAGCCAGCCAACCTCGTAGCTCCAGTGCACAGTAGTCCCAGTCGAAGATTTATCGTCTCCATACAAGGCTCTGGGTGTCAGGAATGGTGGAGTAATTTGTATAAGTGCTGAATGTCGAGATGTCGAGGGCTCTGAGCTCAAAGAAGGTCAAAATCGTCCAGCTGGTCCCGGTACTTCATGATGGTCCTCTTGATCTTGGAGGAATCGACCCATGTGACGAAATCTTCCATATTCCTACTTGATATCAGTCCCGATACTTTCACCAAGTAGTCTATCGCGTGAATGCGTACCTGGTCACCAAGAATGCTGGGTCTGTCACGACTTCTGTGCCAACCCTCACGTGTCCCTGCTCGATGAACTTGTTGGCGCCACTGACAGTCTCTGCCATGCGGAGCCGCGTCATGACGACACCAAGTCGTCGCCGACAGAAGGCAGAGACTGTCACCTTGTGCTCGACGTCGCTCAGCTTGCCCTTTCCTCCACCGCCGATGCCTAGCAGGCCCATTGCATGTAATTTTTCGAGCAGGACATCTTCCTGCTTCGCACGAAATGACGATTCTGGTGGTAGAAGCGCGATGCGATGTGCGAGATGTCGCAGTTTGCCAGCGAGGCGGTTGTAGGAGGAGTAGTCGGCTGGGTTGGAGATGGAGTATCGCCTGACCACGGCTGCTTGTCGATGTTGGTCGTCTTTGGGGTAGTTGATGAAGTCAACTTTGCGCAAAAGCTTCTGCTCATGGTGCTTGAGTTTGCGCACCATTTTCGCGGGGCCGTGGTGTGTGGTTGTTGATCTTTGAAATTGTCGCTGCAAATGCTGAAGTCGAGTCCTGGGAATTCAAGATCGAGTAGTCAGCAAGATAAGCTTCCCGATACCGAAAAGCTTGCTGCTTTGGGCGCCGAGCACTGAGTCAAAGTCTGCCTTTTCTCGACAGTCACATTCGCTTGCTCCACTCCTCTCGCACATTTCGTGGCTCTATTAAAAGGCGAAAACATGCCTACAGTCCATCTGCTCGACTATGCGGCAGGCAATATTCGCTCCTTGGTCAACGCCATAGAAAAGCTTGGCTGGGAAGTCGCGTGGGTGAAAGATCCGAAGGATGTTGAGAAGGCTGAGGTATGTCTTGGATGATTGGCCCTTCAGTGACATATGCTGATGGCTGACAGGTCTTCTGTTGATGTAGAAACTCATCTTGCCTGGCGTAGGCCATTTTGGTCATTGTATTACGCAATTCACAAATGCCGGTTATGTAGAGCCTGTGCGATCATACATTCACTCTGGAAAGCCTTTCATGGGCATTTGTGTTGGTCTACAAGCACTATTCGAAGGCTCAGCAGAAAATCCAAAAGTCCCTGGTCTTGGTATCGTCAAAGGCCGACTTGAGCGATTCAGCAGTGACGACAAAAGTGTTCCGCAGATAGGCTGGAATTCTGCCAATACCTCGGACAGCAATCAAAGCATATACGGCCTACGTCCCGATAGCAAGTACTATTACGTGCACTCGTATGCTGTGCCGTATCGGGAAGGCCAGTTTGAAGCAGACGGCTGGACAGTGGCGAAGGCTCGCTACGGAAACGAAGAATTTGTTGGTGCCATTTCTCGAGACAATGTGCTTGCCACCCAGTTCCACCCCGAGAAATCTGGCGCTGCTGGCCTGAGAGTACTGAGAGCTTTCTTGGAGGGCCAAAAATCTGCTCCGCTACCGGCAAGCGTTCACGATCCCCAGGAAGGCCTGACCCGCAGGATCATTGCATGCCTCGATGTCCGTACCAATGACCAAGGCGATCTTGTGGTCACCAAGGGTGATCAATATGATGTGCGCGAAAAGAGTGGCGAGAACGCTGTTCGCAACCTTGGAAAGCCAGTCTCAAAAGCGCAACAGTACTATGAACAAGGCGCCGATGAGGTGACCTTCCTGAACATCACCTCTTTTCGTGACACTCCTCTGAAAGACTTGCCAATGCTCGAAGTCCTTCGCCAAGCTTCAGCGACATGCTTTGTACCATTAACGATCGGAGGTGGCATCAGAGATACGAAAGATCCCGAGACAGGGCGTACAGCACCAGCGCTCGAGGTCGCAACTCTCTACTTCAAATCTGGCGCAGACAAGGTCTCGATTGGATCGGATGCTGTGACCGCTGCGGAAGAATACTATGCATCCGGCAAGAAGCTTTCTGGCAAAACTGCTATCGAAACCATAAGTGAAGCTTACGGAGCTCAAGCAGTTGTGGTCTCCGTTGATCCCAAAAGAGTCTACATTGCGTCGCCAAATGACACTGCACACAATACCGTGGAAACTCCATATGCCGGACCGAACGGCGAGAAGTACTGCTGGTATGCATGCACAATCAAGGGTGGTCGAGAGACTCGCGACCTCGACGCGGTCCAGCTGGTACAGGCCGTGGAGGCCATGGGAGCAGGAGAGATCCTGCTCAACTGTATCGACAAAGACGGCACCAACTCTGGTTTTGACCTCGAACTGATCCGAAGCATCAAAGCCGCCGTGAGGATTCCTGTCATTGCATCGAGTGGTGCAGGCAATGCGGCTCACTTTCAGGAAGTTTTCGAGAAGACGCCAGTTGATGCAGCACTTGGTGCAGGAATGTTCCACCGTAACGAGTGGACTGTGAAGCAAGTCAAAGAAGAGCTGCAAAAGACTGGTCTGGTCATTCGCAGATTTGAGGAAGACATCTGAGCGTAGAAGCTACGATAATAATTGAAGCGCCTTAACTCTCTTACGCAGCATCTGACGCTTCCATCACAGGCATAACAGGCAATACTAATAAGCCTAACAGATCTTTCTCTGTATGCTCCGTCCAACGTATCATCTTCTACTCGGCGAGTATTAATCGATCTGCAACCGCTCGTTTCGCACAATCCACATTTGCAGCGAGCCCACGCATATCCGCAAGGTAAGATCGCATACGAGCACGCGGATGAGTGTATACCCAAGGTTCGCCAGGCTGTCCTTGTCGACCAGGACAATAAAGTTCAGGCTTGGCACGAGATCGAGCAATCACGTCGATGACATTTGCTGCATTCACGACCACACCACTGCGACTACACTTGTGCATCAACGAAGTCCGAAGGTCCGGAGAGAGATCATCAGTGGTTGCATCCACTCCAATATTCGACGCAGGACGATTCGACCTACCATTCTTCGCCGGCTACAAGAAGTGGCCGAAGTAGGCGCTCGCAGCTTCAATGCACTCGTGTATGCCAGCACACCGCTACAAAAGAGGATTAGGAACAGATGATCGATTATCTGCCGCGAATGCAGTGTCAGAATATCGGATCTCGAAGCGCCACGCCGACTATGGTATGCAAGCAGGACTTCATAGAGAAGCGATGCGTAGGAATGAGCCCTTCACCCATTTACAGTGATCCGCCGCTGCCGACTGAGGCTCGATGATTCACGATTTCTTCTCAGTTCATGGTCCGACTGGCATTCGACGAGAAAAGATCCTTGTTGTTGTTGTTGTTGTAAAAGGCGACGCCGCTTCTAACCCCAAGTTAGAAGTAGCTTATATAACTTTTTCGTACAAAAAGACCGCCGCAATTGGGGTTTGCGAGGCATTTGTTGAAGAGGTATGATTGTTTGTTGCTGCTGGGGTGGAATTTTGTGGGATTGTTGGGGTATATGTGTGTTTTGTATAGTTTGTCGAATCATAATATGCGGTGCAGGTGGCCGAGTTGACGCAGAGTCAGGCGAGTGTGTTGACGGCTGTGTTGAATCTTGGGACTGCATTTGGGAGGCCGGCGATTGGGTTGATCAGTGATCGATTTGGAAGGATCCCGGTGGCGACGATGGCGACGCTGTTTAATGTTGTGTTGTGGATTCCTAGGACTTCGTATGGAGTGCTTGTCTTCTTTGCGTTGTTCATTGGCGCGACAATCGGCACATTCTGGGCAGTAAGTCGTAATCCATGAAAGCTAGGTATGCTTCGAGGACTGACAACAGTGTTGCAGACTATCGGCCCTCTCTGTGCCGAAGTAGCAGGACTCGCAGAAGTTTCATCGTTCTTGTCCCTTCAGTGGGTGACTACAGTGCTGCCTTGCACTTTCGCAGAGGTCGTTGCTCTATACCTCAGACGACCAAGCCAAGGTCGATGGGCTTATCTGTATGCACAGCTTTTCGCAGGTGTCGCATACTTGGTCGCATCACTCTTCATGTTTGAGCTGTGGCGAATCAAGCGAAAGGCAGGCCCGAGAGGAGCGCAGATTTTCTCAAATGGCAGAAGTAGCCAGATAGCTGGATCGAAGCATGAATGTCTTTTGCTTAGCCGCGTCACTGCGAGTATGAAATTCTCGCAGCAGAAATGTTGGCAAGACCGCTCAACATCAAAGCTCGCATCCTTTTGCTTCTGGTCTACCTCCGTTCAGGCCTTTGTGCATTAAGGATTACGTTGCGCGGTGGTGAATTGGTCAGATTGCACGTGATAGATTTAAATTAGGGCTAGCTTCCGTCTTTCCGAACAACCAATTATATACTACTCTACCTAATCCTTTGCCTAAAGGCCTAAAGCTAAACCGCTAATTTTTATCGTAGATTCCGCTATTAAAATACGATCTCGCTATACTAACGATAACTAGCAAATCTAATACAAGGAGGTTGTAGCCCTACTAATTGCGAGTCTAACGATCTAAAAATCTCGTATATGCGACGTATGCGCGCTAAGTTATACTAATTCAGCCGAGCCTACTTCTATAGCTATCCGCCTATCTAGAGTTAGGCGAGACTAGCAATTTATGTTTCCTAATAATAATTCTCGAATTTGTAAAGCAATAGTATTATTAAAATAGCGGATATCCTTAATTACTAAATTATCTAGGAACCGTCTCTATAAAGTGCTATACTACGGGTAATAGTTGTTACGGTATTCGAGCTAATATGTATATACTAGTAGGTAGATAGGCGAGCCTGCACCCGCCTAGAACAGTTTGTCGTTAGGCGCTTCGTAAGAATAAGATCTCGAATGGCGCTAATCCTAATTAAGAATAGTCTCAAAGCGGAAGTTATATACATACAACGAATTCTATACAAAGCGCCTAAATAGAGGTAGCTTCTAGTGATAATAATAATAATAATAATAGGAGAGGAAGAAAAAGAGACTAGAATAGACCCTACGTTTCGAGTTACCCTCGTATAGCTATTATAGAAGCTCGCGGCCGCTATCTAGTAGTTAAGAAGCCCGCCTATAAGCTATAGACCGACCCTCGATTTTCTTAAATCTTGCGCTATATCTTTTATATAAGGCAAAGCAAAACAAGTAAGCCCTGCCGATATACGAAGGCTGCTACGTAGTTCTAGACTACACTGTCTCGCATATAACAAATAGGGACCTTTAGAAGCTACTAAATTATAGGGGTCTTTCGAGGTCGGCGAATAAGGTAGATACGAGGGTTACTACCGCATCCTTCGAAGGCTAGTTTTCTACCCCTGCGAGTTATTAACTCGTAGGCCTAGACCGTGCTTTTAAACGGAGTCGTTTAAAAGCATATAACACGCTATATTTACAACTCGCATAGGTAGTAATCCTACCTTAACTAGAAGTAGAAGGAGGTAGAAGGGGGCTTAAACCCTGTCCGGCTTAGCTTATTAAACTAGCTTCTTAGCAGACTTAGTACTACCGAATAATAAGCTATATACTATAACCGGCGACAGTAAGGTAGAAAGTAGCTATTAGGTCTTCGAGATAGTACGAGAGGGCACTAGCTTATATATATAAAGGTCTAGATGTGTAGCCGTTAGTGTAATTAGCAATAGGGGGCTACTAAATAGAACCTAAATTCGAGGATTGATTGTAGTATGTCGTCCGTAGGATAAGAGGCGTCTACGGAAGTAGTAGAAGTCTTAGTTTGTTAGTATAACTACTATTGTTCTCGATTATAGCTACTATAGACACCCCCTCTTATCCCTCTCGTATTATCGACCTAGGCTCCGGCTCTTTAACTCTAGCATTCGCTATACTAGTCTACCTACTACTATAGGCACCGCCTACACCTGTCCGAGTAGCTCTCTAAGGTAACCCTCTTTATATAGATATGTCTTTAATATAGCTATACCTAGTTAGAAGTCTATTGCCTGCAATTTAGTCGGTTATTAAGCGGCTACATAGTCGCTCTATATCCGTAGCGAGCTTGTTAACTAATTTAAGCGACACTAATAGCGACAGCGACAGCAGTATAGCGACTAAACAGACGCTAAATTCAACTCTACTAAGACTAGTTATTACGAGAGGTATAGACACCTCTTTAACGGCTTATACTTAGCGGCAATAACAGGTTATAGTTTAATAACCTGCACTGGATTCAGTCGACTCTTAGCCTTCTACTACTAAAGGGGTAGAAGAAGGTAGTATAGAAGACGACTACAATCGAGTTAATAGCGATAGCAAGATCTCTAACGACTTTGCCTTACTAATTATTAGGCACTTCGAGGCCAATTCTAGCTATTATATAGAAGGTCGAATAAGGGACATAGTAAAGCGCTGTTAGAAATAGTGTAACGACAACCGACCTGCTAGACAACGTATAATTAGAGGCATAGACGGCCTTGTTCGTAGGTGGATTGCAAAGCGTGTTCTCGAGTATAGAGCCCTTCTTACTGCTTCCGGTATAGTTGTAGTTGACGACTCCGAGTTCAAACAGACACTTAATCGCTTTAAGGACACTGTATTATATAACAATAAGAAGCTCCGCGAGAAGCTACTAACTGCTAACGAGCTCCGTACGTACGAGACTCCGGCTTAGCAGATACAAGATAATATACTCCGTATTATATCTTAGCGGCTATAGGATCTATCGATACCGAGTCTAGTTATTCTGTTACCTTTAACTCTATTACTAAATCCGGCTCTTTCTAAGGCATCTAATACTCTAGTTAGAATACTGTATACAGCGCGCCGTCGGTTACATATCGATAGTAAGAAATAGCTAAATAAGGAGAGGTCGTTAAGCCGAGTGTTAGAGCTATTTCGAGAGGCAATTACTGCGTTAGCAAACTAGCTAAGAGCTAACTATTATTCCGAGGCAACAAACAACTACTATTTAATCCGCCGAATAGACGATTTAGATAACCGCTCTAAGAAGCGTATAAAGCTAATATACGCGTCTACGATACGTCAATTCAATAAGCTAAGAGCCCTTCTTATCGGCTATGTTAGACATATTCCTCTCGTTCCTTTACAGTTGTCGCAGGTTACCGACTTTAGCTTAGACGACAACCTCGTTGCTAACGTTATTGCGCCGATAGGAGATAGTAACGAGGGCTACGATAGCGATAGAACTGTTTTATAGGTGTTAGAAGCGTTAGATATTGGATATTAATAGTCGTTAGTGCGTAGATGTTCGTATAATCGAGGTGTTAGACCTAACTAAAGATAACTAAATAAAGCGTACTATATATAGTATTCTAAGTGCCCGTCAGTTCCGGAGTTAGTAAGAAACGTAGTAGAAATACGAATTCTTTAGTATAGTTATTGCTGCCTTCGATACTATTAGTTATAATACTAAGTACTAGGACTGAATTTCGACTAATTCTAGAAATTTGTACAACCCCCGCTATTCTCCGCCTTTATCTATTACTAAGATACGTAGGAGCAATTTATATAGATAGATAGATATTTCATTTGCCTATTGTAGTGCCTTTCGGCCTATGTAGGTCTGTTTCTATATATTGTTTTTAGGTAGGAAACTAACTTAGTTGGTAAAAACCTCCCTCCTGTCCTATTTATAAGTGTTGATCTTTCTCGTTTCCTTATTTTCCTTCCTCTAGGATATACTAGTGTTATAGTTATTACCCTCTAACTACCTTGCCTGCTACCTTGCCCTTCTTTCCCCCTCTTCTTCCCTCCTTCTTATCTACTCCTTAGTTTCCCTTACTAGTGCGAATTATTATATAAATCCCTGTTTAATAATCTACTTTACTATCCTCTTTAGGTCTTCTTTACTCTAGATTAGCTTATCGTATTCCCTTTCTATTGCTTTTAGTCTCTAATTACTTCTGCCTTCTAACTATTAAGGGCAGACTAGCAGTATATACTTAGGGTTCTGAGATTGGTAGCTATATTAGCAAGCTCTGCTTTTAATTCCTAGGACGTTTCTTCTAAATAGGTAAGATCTAAGTCTAATATATTTAGATCTGATTTAAATAGCTAGGCTTGCCTCGGCCCTGTTTAGGTCCTTATAGAGCTAGTAGTTGTATTAACCAAATTTGATTAGTGCCTTTAGGGTTCCTAGTCTAACTTGTGTTTTGTTCTATTCCTGCTCCTATAGGTATCTAGCAATTGATTCTGCTAGGCTTTATTTCTCTCCCTTTAGCTTGTCTTCCTTTAGCCTTATATTTAGTCCCTAAAGCTCTTTCTCTAGCATTTCTCTTATTAAGACTCTATATTGCTCTAGGTCTTTAACTTTCTAGGGAGTTATTTGTAGCCTGTCTCGCCTCCTAGTCCTAATATACTAGGCTTTTATCTTGTCTAGTGCCTTTTAGATAGTCTGTTAGGCTAGGTATTCTATTATCTTTGCTGCATATTAGTGTCTTAGTCCCTTAAAGTATTATTTAACTAGTAGGATCCCTAATTCTATTTCCACTACCCTTGTTAGTATAGTTTTATATACTTCTAGGATTTTCTTTAGGCTTTAGGTTTGGGATCTGCTAACTAGTTGCTTAATCCTCTTTAGTGTTTTCTCCTAGGCTATCTATATCTATGCTCTATATAGCATTGCTAGCTTGATAATTGCTTTGTATATGACTTTGGCTTTCTCGAATGTAGCCCCCTATATAGAGGCTATAAGCCTATTAATGGATTGTATATTAGCATCTGCCCTCTACTTTACCTTCTTTACTTATAGTCCCTAATTTAGTTTTAGATCTAGCTAGATCCCTAGTACCCTAAGCTCTGCTAATAGTTAGGTTTTAAAGCCTTAGATAGTAATTAATTGCTTTATATTGTAGGTTGATTTAGCCTTACTAAAGTAGATAAGCTAGTACTTTTCTAGGGCGAATTTTGCTCTATACCTCCTTGCCTATTTTTTACACTCCTAGTGCTTCTCTTCTAGGATCTTATAGTTGGTTTCTATTGTCTTAGACTAGGCTAGGATGTTTGTATTATCTACAAACCCTAATGCTAATATATTCTTTAATTCTAGGAGTAGGAGTAGATCTGCTATAAAGATAAGGAAGAGGATTAGGGAGAGTATTAATTCTTAGGGGATTCCCTTTTTAGTTAGTATTAGGTCTGATTTGAATTTGCTAAGAATGAGCTGTGTTAATCTTTCCTATAGGAAGGACTAGATAAATTGGACTATCCAGTTTGGTATAGCTTTCTGTTTAAGTATATATAGGAGCCTTTTATAGGAGACATTGTTAAAGGCTCCTAAGATATTAAGGGAGAGGAGGGTTGCTACCTAGTTTTAACTATAGTGCTAGATATACTTGATCTATTCTATAATTAGTTCTATAGCTATTAGTATTAACCTCTTCTTTCTTCCTCCTATCTAGCCTTTAGGAAGGATGTTCCTTTCTTCGGCAAAGGTTGTTAGCCTTTTAGCGACAATTTTCTCTAGTACCTTACCTATTATATTAAGTAGGGCTATCGGCCTATAGGCCTTAAGCTATATATAGTCTTCCTTCTAGGGCTTCCTTAGCACTACTATTAGGGACTTCCTAAATGGTCTTAGGTAGTGTCCTAGTACTAGGCTTTGTAAAAAGATATTAGCTAGTACTAGGGCTAGCCCCTTCCTACATGCTTTTAGAAGTTTGTTGTAGATCTTGTCTTCTCCTAGTGCCTTATTGCCTAGAATTTTCTTTAGGATCCTTTTAATAGTTTCGGGTTTAACCTAGGTGTCTCTTAGTGTGCCTAGTAGTAGAGTCCCTTATTCTTCCTCCTTTATATCTAATAGGTCTACTTGTACTTTTCTATAGAAGAAGTGTTAGCCTAGGGCTCTTGCTTTCCCTTCTATTATAGTCTATATTTGTCCTTGTTAGTCTATAATGTCCGGGAATTGTAGTAGTATATCCTTATCCTGTTTAGGTCTCCTTACCTATTTAGCTATCCTCTATATCTCCTCTAGTTTCTTTGTAATTATTCCTATTATAGATCTCTATTCTTATATCTTGTCTTTCTTAATCTAGATCTTCTTTTCTTAGTAGGCTTTATTATAGTTGTCCTATGCTTCCTAGGTATAGGTTTGTATCTACTGCCTCCTAGCCTTCCTTACTGCTTTAACCTTCCTTATACACTTACTAGTTTAGTATAGCTGCTAGTATAGTAAATGTTTCTTTGCTAGGGTATGCTTTCTAGCTACCTGTTTTAGGATTCCTATTAGTTCTTCTACTGCCTTATCAATGTCCTCTAGCCTTAGTAGGTACTTTATTAAGAGTTCCTCTAGTTTTAGGTCCCTTTCTAGTTCCTCCCTAATCCTACCCTATTAGGCACCTTTCTAGTTAAGCTTCTCCTCTGGTTCCCTTTCCTAATTAGCTTAGACATTTAGCTTAATCTATACTAGGAAGTGGTCTAATGATTCTTCTAGTTCCTAGTTAACCCTATATCTTGTAATCCTATTCCTAATCTAATGTAATACAAAGTATAGGTCTAGTGTACTGCTGCTTCCTCTTGCCTCCTAAGTAATTAGTCCCTTTAGGGTAACAATTTCTATTCCTTCCCTCTCTAATATATTAATTAGTCTTCCTACTAGGAAGTAGTAAGCTAGGGTAAAGTCTAAGCCCTAGAGGGGGTAGTAGAGGTTGAAATCCCCTAGTAGGATTTGGTAGGTGTTCCTCTAGATAACTCTAGGTAGTCTTTCTAGGGTTTTCAGTTAGGTACTGCTTCTTAAGTCTAGTAGTAGGTTGTATATATAGTAGACTTAGAGTGTACCTTAGGATATCTCTACTTAAACTAATATTAGGTCCCTATCCTCCTATAGTATAGCCTACTAGGTTTCTATATCTATCTCCCTACTAATATAGATATATATCCTTAGGGCTCCCTAGTTGTAGATAATTAGGTAGTATCTTAGGTCTTTAACTATTGCTAGTTTCTTTATATATAGGTTGAGCTAGGGCTCTTAGATTGCAATAATGTAATGTTCTTTTAGGTTTAGTGCTTAAAGGAAGCTCCTCTATACCTTGTCTTTGCTCTTATTGATATTATACTATATAATGTTTAGTGATGTTGCAATATTTATTAGGTTTTATCTATATTATTTCCCTATAAGTTTTCCTTTAGTCTTCCCTTACTTTAGACCAATATTTAACTAAGCTTTATCTGCCCTACTTCCTTTCCTGCAATATTAAGGTATCTTAGTCTCCCTAGTTGCTAGTAACTCTCTTGTACTAGTGAGGCCCTAAATATGAACCTATTATCTTGTCTAGACCTCTTTTGTGGCACTTAGCTAGGTTGCTTCTATACCTAGCTACCCTAGCTTGTTATATATCTTTTTAGTGTATTGATTCTAGCTTCCTTTACCTTCCTAGCTGCCTGTATTCTTACTAGGTATTCCTTCGCCTAAGAGGGGTGTCTTTTAGTATAGTATATATATCTTGCTTCTCCCTTGTGTGCTTTACATTCTTTAACCTAGTAATCCCCTATATAATAGGAGTAGGTATTGGTTGTCTTTGTGTACTTTGCTGCTAAGTGTCTATAGTGTTGATATTTGAAGTACTATATTATCCTATAGTTGCTTCTATATATCTCTGTTTCCAATCTTTTAAAGTCCTAGAATAACCCCTAGTCTAGTACTATGTTTGCTTGCTCTATACTCCCTACCTAAATAATTAGGGAAGACTGCTTCTTAGTCTCTTCGATTTTCCTTTTAATCTATACCACTTTTGTAATCTTTAGGCCTAGGCATATAGCTTAGTTTTGTCTCTATAGGCTCTTAATATCCTATTCTTCCTTAAAGCTTCTTATTATGCTATAGGCTATAATTATGAATTGCTGTTAGGAGACCTTTGCTGTTTTCCCTATCTTAGTTGTCTATTCTTTTTGTGTTTCTAGCTTCTTTTTGTCCTACTCTTATACTATAAATAGCTTGATTACCCCTTTACCTTCGTTCCTAGCCCTAATTACCTCTTTAACCGTAATTCTTTCTAGAATCTCTTTCCCTATAAGTCCTTAGATTTCCTTTTGCTCCTATAGGTCCGTAATATAGACTCTAACTACTGTCCTCGGGGGTTTTAGCGCCTCCTAACTAGCTACTACTGCCTAGGTACGGTAGTTTAGGCTTATTTCTAATTGTTTCTTCGTAATCTTTGCTGCGACTATATTAGCTACCTTTATAATTACGTAGCTTGCCTAGTTATAGATTGCTTTCAGTCCTCTAAGGAGTTCTAAAATTATTATCCTATATGCCCTCTTAGGGGTTCTTCTATCTTCCGCCTTTAGCACCTCCTCTACCCTAGTATATAGTGCTTTCTATTCGTCCTCCCTTCCTTCTTAACTGTCTTCCCTTCGTCTCTAATTGTTCGCTACTATCTCTCGGCCTCCTCTTACGTAAGATATAGGAAAATAACCTTAAGCAATTTATATAGCTATAGTATAGTAAAACGGCCCTCCGACGCTCTTCTATATCTACTCCGATAATTAATAGGAAGAACGCGAAATAGTGTAATATTATGTAATCCTTAATCTATTACTATTCTTCCTCGCTATCGTTAACAACTACATCGCCTATATCTTCTATATTACTTCCGACTTCTAGTCTATTACTAGAAGGGTTTATACGCATTAGATCTAGCACCTTAGCGTCTACCGGCGGCATAGGTAGCAGCTTAGCACCTAAGTAATCCCTAATATCCGGACACTTTAAGCTATAGTACGCGGCGACCTTGTTTCTACGATAACAAGATAGGCAGTTAGTAAGCAATACAGCGACTAGATAATAGGACCCTATCGGCATTAGACTAGTACGTAACCCCTTCTTATATTCGAAGAATAGCTAGCTATTAGTTACCTTACCGAACCCCTATTCGACTAACTAGCGTAGTACTAACTATTCCTTCGAGACCTGTGCTATTATAGCGTTACGATAACCGCCCCTCTTCGATTTCTACGACCTAATAATACCGTCTACTTGTTTGTACGTAGAGTCGCCGAATATAAAGAGCTTGTTATCTATATTGTTATTATTAAATAGGTAATGCTACACCTAGTTAATCCCCGACTCGCGCACTATTCGGCCGTCCCTATAAGAGCTAGGATAAGGGCTATCGATAAGTAGTATTCTATCCGGTAGCTATATACCCTAGAATTTAATACTATAGAAGTGCTTATAGCTATTATAGAACACCCTCTAGTTGCGACTAGGCCTCGCAATCTTCCTTATAGTGCCGTTAATATATCTAAAGACACTAGACAGTCCGACCGATAGATATAGCGACTCTGCTAGGCTCCGGAGATATTGCTTAGTAAGCCGCCTCCTATTAAAGAATAAGAACGACTTCTACCTTATTACTAGACTATATATAGCCGCGTTAAATACGTAACTCAATATAGTAGCTAAATAGCTAAACTTCTCGTCTAGGTCCTTCTAGAAGCCTAGACTAGATAGCCGCTTATAGACTATATAAAGCACCGTCGTAGGTAGCAATTTAAGGCCGACTAGTAACACGATTAAACCGATATCTAGCAGGTCTGCTAGCTCTGCCAATTTGGGCCTTATAAAGCGGAAGTTACCCTAGATATTAGCCTCTAGGTAGCTAGGGAGGTCGAAGCGCTGTTTCTTATAGACTCTCGCTAGTTTAAATAGTCGGTTACGCCTTAACTAGCGGTGCTGCTATTTACATGCGGATTTGCCTTCCCTCTACGCCTACTAGTTCTTATTACTACTATCTTCCTTAAGGTATTTACTAGTAATAGCAACAACCGTTATAGTAGCTATAGTAACTGTAATAGCTCTAGTTTCTATAGTTTAGTCTATAGCTAAGGTCTATAGCTAAGGTCTATAGCTAAGGTCTATAGCTGAGGTCTGTGCCCCTAGGGGGTCTAGAATAGGGGCTCCTTACTGCACTAAACCGCTTTCGATTACATGCAAATTGGCCTCTTCTAAAGGTCCGTAAAAAGCGCCACATTGATCCTTCACATAACGGTTAGGAGCTAGCGCTTATTTGGAAGCCGGTAGCCAAATTGACCATTTCTGAAGGTCCCTAATGCAGGGCTTTTGGCACCGAATATCTGGTGCTCCAAAATCCCTTCCATAACTTGCACAGCCGTGCCAGCCAGCTCAACGTGTTCAATCGACTTCAGGTTAGCGTTCAGGGTAATTGTTACCTCGATGCGCGATTCCCGGCCCATCTCGACGCCTTGTGTAAGCTCGAAATGCGAGATTCTACTTGACGCGTTTTTGAGCGCAAGATAGCTCGTCAAAGCGCAGGCTGCGGAACCTGTAGCCGGATCTTCGAAAGAGCCTTCGATCATGCGAGTGCGCAGCTGATACATAGCCGTATCGTTATGCCCGCGAGCAGGTGTAGTGGAGGTGATGACATAGAAGTGCGAACCCGAGAAGCCTTCGTTCCACTCGTCGTCGAGTCTCGGCTCAGGTTTCTTCCCGGTCGAGATCTTGCTCAACGTGCCTAGATCAGGCAGTTCTGCCTGAAGAAAATTCATGCCTTTTACGGGGCTAGTGACCTGCACCACGTCGGTTGAGGTGACCACACCTCGCAGAGCAGGTTGCAGGTCATAGAGCTCTTCCAGCGAACAGGCATGCTGTACGTGAAGGTGGAAATTGTGAGGGATGCTGGCTTTCGCTACTTTAGAAGCGCGATCGTAGATTAGCTGTATGGGACCTGCATTTGCGATGAGCCGTGCCTGATAACTCGTGGGAGATAAGGTGCCTAAGGCGTAGACCTATCTCGAGACTAGACGAGAATGTTAGCGATTCCTACCTTTATATTCTTACCTGCGTTTTATTATTAGACAATTTGCCTTTACGGAACATAGCGGTCCGCGTCCCGTATATAGACTACTCCGTAGCGGGCTTAGATAAAAACTATACGGAGCTAAGCAAATTTTTCTACTAATTAGGGCGGGGAATATAGGAATCGCTATTCTCGTCTAGGCCGTTTCTATTAGGATTTCGACTTCCTATATTAAATATTTATATAAGAGAATCGCAAAACCCTAGTTTTAATACTAGAACGACTATTTCCTATAGTAAAAATTTCTCTCTATAGCGGGAATACCTCTCTCCGTATTACTATCTTTTTCCCGAAGTTTCCCGGATACGAAATCGGGTATAAATATATCGTCGTCGTCGTAGCGCCCGCGTCGCGATATACGCTAGGTAGATACGACTATATTATCGCGTATTTCTATTATAACTATACCCTCCGCGGCTTTCTAGCCTACTTCTGTAGGACTATCTCTATCCTCTACTACGGATAGATATATATCTAGTCGCTCTCCTTCTAGTCTATCTACCTCCTCCGATCTTTCTAGTATTCTATCTTATAAGTATCCGGGTAACGGGTCTACCGAAAAGGAGGACCTAGCGGATCGCCTATAACTAGAAGCAGATAGCATTATAGACGGTAATAGCGTTAGTAGTAGCGATAACGAGTCGACCCGCTATATAACTCGCTAGCCCCGCGCTCGTCGCGATAAAAGATAGCGCTATAAAGAAGTAATACGCAAGATACGGGAAAACAACCTTACTATAGGGAAGGTCGTACGGTACTAGGCTAGTAAACTACGGAGTAAGTCCTATACGTATCGCGTCGGCTAGCTCTCTATTATATTAAATACGGAGCTACGCAAATCGAAGCAGGTTAAGTTGTCTAGTAGTAAGAATAGTAATATTATTCGTAAACTCGATTACCTAATTAGAAAGAGCTTGTATAGGAAATAGCGGAGGACTCTTCGATCCGCTACGGAGGTATCCGAGGCCGTAGCGGGCGACTAGGCCGCTACGCTACTCGAACCTATTAATAGATTCGATAATCAATTCTCCGTCTAGCAGTTTAAGGATATATATAAGGTTATCCGGGATATTGCTCTAGCGTAGCATTAATTTGCCCGTAGCGTATTAGTTAGGTAGCGTAATAAAGAGCCGGATAATCTCGATATACGAATATTTACCCTTACTACCTTTATCCTCTATACTCGCTCTCGGAAAAAATCTAATTAGTTTGCAAAGGCATTCGGTCGGTACCTCCTATTAAATAGCGTAAAGCGGAGGGCATTAGATATCCTATCGGGGATTAGTTTAATCGCTACGTATATAGTACTATACCGTAAGGAGAAGCTTTCTAGGAGCGAGTAGAAGGTAGTTATTTAATCGCATTGTAGTTAACTCGTACTTATTCTATATAGGAAAGACTCGTCCGGTTAGCGTATAATATTATATAGTACGTAGTCTACGATAATATCAATTTCTAGGATACGGTTCGGGATTAGACTGTATCTAATTAGTTAGTTATACGCAATCTTACTACGGCGCTACTAGTACGCTTTACTCCGTATATTCGCTATCCCGATACTAGCCTACGCATTAACGATTTCAAGGCGGATACGCGACTAGACGCTACGGATATCTATAATGCCTCTACGCTTAGAGAAGATAAATAGTCTCGGAAATTGTCGATATATTATATATACGCGGCGATTATAAGCATCTTCGAAAATAAGCTCGCAACCGTAGTCGAGGACCCTCGGGTTAAGTCGATTACGCAGTAGCTAGGACTATATCCGCTACGGGCCTCTAAAACCGAATTCTACCCGCTTAGTACGATTTACTATAGCGAGAGTACTATCGATAGAAACGCCGCGGTATAAGAGGACATTATACTATACAAGCTGCGCCTTAACCTAGTTATAGACTTCCTTATACAGTTGTAGCTTTTCTACGGAGATTAATAGTCGGTATAGCGTATACGGAGCAATAAAGGTAAAAATACTAAAAGTATAAGGCTATTCGAGCGGCGGGATTAGATAATGCCCGTTGCGGGACTCTTCTATACCGCTATAAACCTCTATTATACACTAGTTCGCCTTTTCTAGAGTGTTAGTTAGGATGCTAGGTCGGAATATAGCCTTTTCTAGGATAAGTAGGTATTTAGTACGAAAGGATTAACCGAGAAAAAACCAAAATACTAGATACTACGTCCCGTTGCGCTTTATAGGTACTCCGTAAGGATTATCGCCTTATTCGTTAAGCAGCTATACTATAGCGAATATTTCCCTACGGATTTACCTCCTAATTTTAGTAAGCTAAGGGCGGTTATACCTGCTATAGTAGGTCTTGCTACGGATAAATATCTCTAGTTCTTAGCAGCTGTGTGTAGTAGCTACTTGCGGCCTTTAGTATAGCTAGAAAGACAATAGGAACGGGTATATTGTATACCTAGGACAAAGCTACTCTTACCGTAGTAGATGCGCCGGACTCCGCTACGGTTAGAGCCTATCCCGTAGGCATAGCCTAGAATCCGCGATCCTACCTAGACTGTGCTTTATCGGCGACTCTATATAACCGAGCTCTAGTTAACTCTCCGATATACGACTCGGAATACAGATATTAGTTATATTAAACGTCTCTTACCGCAGCTCGTAGTAGTATTTTTCGGAGCTAGATAATATAACTACGGGCGCGAGATACTATATCTAATTTAGCTACTTAAGGGCGTATCTCTATATCTCCGTAGCGCGATTCTAGCCGGCGGCGTCGTAAATATAATAGGTAGGCCCGGGAAAGGGATCGCGGTAGACGAATTGCTCGAACTAGTTAGTTTGCGGTATAGGGATAATATACGAAATTTTAAGAATTCGACGTATAATATAGTAGAAACATTTGATCGTGTTTTGTATACTACTTTCGCTACAATGCGAGTAAATAATGCTTTCGAGGACGAATTCGGGATCCGGAATACTACTAATCATTCCTATAAGGATACAACTTACGAAATTTAGAGGCTCTCCGCTCGACTCTTTACTATATACCGTAGCGTAGGCGATCGGTACCGTAGCGCAGATAATCCTCCTATTATACCTAACCCGTACTAAGCTAGTATTAATAAAATCTATAAGGAAGTATAGGATTTTAATGCAAAATATCTACGTAAAGGCGTATCTATAGCCGTAGCACCCGATACGGATTTAGATACTTACGATGCGGGACTAGATACGGATTAAAATACAATATTTAAAAATGTCGAAGATATAATACTAGATATATTAGACCTACTAACAGTTTAATTATATAACGTCTATTTTAGGAAGTTTTACGCGAAGTTCTAATATTTACTTCGACTTTAGCGGTTGTTTTTTTTTACTATACTACTATTATACTCCCGAATCCGCACCCTATATCCGAAAACTCGAACGAACTAGAAGGACGGATATTCGAACAAGAGCTGCGGAAGTACTTTAGGCCGCCGCGGATAAGAGAGTAGTAGCAGAATACCTTCCATAATTAGATTTATAGTATCTAATAGCTCTACTCGGCCCTCGTATCGCATTATATAATAAGAACAATACTAATACTACTCGAGAAACACTATCTATTCTATCGTACCGATACTAAAAGAACTAGAGCCGGTAAAATATTAGAGAAGAAGCAACCTATAGAAGCAAAGAAAGTCTATAGCGGGCTAGCCCTCGCCCGTATCTACTCTACATTCTTGCTATAATACTACTCGCGAGCTACCTTAGGACTAATAGTGCGCAAGTAACGGCGCACTTCTGCCTTAACCTCTTCGTCGACAACGATATTAGCTAGTAGGAGCGATAGGTAGAGAGTGCGGCTCTTAGATAGGCCGTTATAACTAGCGTAGTAGACCGAGCGGCCGTTAGCGTATATCGTGCCCTATACCTACCCGCTATTCGCATCGCGCTCCTTATTTAGGCCCTTAAGGAGCTCCTTAAGGACGTCGCCGGATCCGAGGCGGAACTTCTCGATAATGCTATAGAGTTTGTATACGTACTCGCGCTACTTCTTTTCCTATACCTTCGGGTCCTTCTCGGCTAATCTACGTAGCGTTTCTAAGATATTGAAGGTATAATTAAAGATAACTTTATTAAATTAGAAGCTCCTACCTATTCGCTCCTAGATAGCCTATCTAGTCGACTACCGTAGTAGCTAGTTATAGGTCTGCTTCGCTTACCCGCTATAGTACCGATTATATGTCTACTATCGCGTACCTATACCGTCCTTACTATATATAGTCTTAGCTTGTCTCGGTTATATAGCGCCGTCGTAGATCTCCTTTAAGCAGCGACTATAGTTATATAGACCTATAAGTAGTAGGCGGCCTTCGAATCGAGGGGGTATCGATAGCGTACGTTAGGAGAGTGCTATATTCGATGTTAGTAGCGATATAATAGACGTATTAGACCTACCGGAGAACGGTATAGATTGCTACGGAGTCCTAGTCTAATCCTACGGAGTTCGTATACTACCGCTACTACCGCCGTGCTACTCGCTACTACTACCGCTACTACCTAGTAGTGCGATCCGATTCTTTTCCTTCTATATACGCGCCCTAGCTAGGGCAGTATTTGCCCTGTCCTTAGATACGGCCTTTTCTATAGCTTCTTATCGGAAGATATTATCTTATAGCTACCGCGTAGGGTCTCGACTACGATACGCTACCTCGCGTAGGTTTTGCGCCTACTACTCTAATAGAATCCGCTTACGAGGATCGGCGCCTAGTATTAGCTAGTAACCGGCTCTATACCTATAGGCTAGTTTTAAGCCTATATAAGAGGCCTCCTTCTATAGAGTAGACAGATTATTAACCTCGTATAGTATATTATTTATGTTACACTTCTATAATGCCTATATTGCAGGGCTCTAGTTATTAGCCTAAACGATAGTCTCGTTATCCTATCTTGCTAAACATAGCTGCCCGTATTGCTATAGGTTATATTACCCTTAGTAGCCTATACTATTGCTATAAGTAGTAGTAGTAGTATTAGTTTCCGTCCTTTATTAGAGCCGAAGGTAGGGCTATCTCTTTATATCTAATAGGTTCGGGTATATTGAAGGTAGTCTCTAGGCACGAATAGCTATAACCGAAGCGAGGGTACGATAAGAGCCTACGATACGGACGATACCGAAGTATCTTAAAAGGCCGTTACGACAAGTAGAGAAACCTCTTAACGAGGGCATCGCTTTAACCCCGAAAAGCTACAAACCCTTAGGACTGTTATAGCTTAGGGCCTAGTCTATAACTATAGCTAGCTTCTAAGGACTCGGCTCCGGGTCGAAGACCTATTTAGTACCGCTTGCTCGAGATAAGCTACCGCCCGCCTAAGGAAGAGATAGATTAATTACCTATTAGCCTTGCTTAGTTTGCTAAGACTATCTATACGATAGCAATTTCTAGATTACAGGTTAGATACCTAGACAGTTCCCCTATTAATCGGGTAGATTGTTTCGGGATTTGCTACCTCGTTCGGATAGTGCTTAGCCTTCTACTAGAAAAAGAAGGTCCCTGCCCCCCCGCCTAGCTAAAGGAGATAACGATAGTTAGTAAAGTAGCTGGTTTCTAGGATCTAGGTGTGAATAGAGATTGCAGTTCCTTCCTCCGAGCGGCTTTTATCTAAATTTATTAAATTAAAGCTCCTAGGGGTATCTAGGCGACCCCTAGGAGGCTAAACTCTAATGCTACCCCGGGGGTAATATTAGAGGAAAACAGCCTAGTACACTATTTTCTCGCATAGTAATATCGAAACAAACCAAACCTATAATATATACTAAAAACACTTTCCTATAGCATTTTATTTTAACTACTTTATAACAATCGAATAAGCTCTAGCGAAAGCGAGTATTACGAATTAGCGGAATCTTCGGAATCTAATAACCTACCGGACCCTATTAACGAAGAAATTAGGCGACGACTAGTTGTTATAAGCGCTATCGAACTAGGGGCTATCGAGCCTTCTACGCCCGAGGCCCTCTATAATGTCGTTATAAAGATGATTTAAGGGCAAACTAACCTTCTCCGTTAGAATAGGCGTCGCCCGCTAGAGCCGGGAAGTAGTAGGAACCCTTTATTCGAAGGGTAGAACGCTACGGCGTACGTAGAACGCTTTAAGAACAACTTAACCGAGTACGGACTCGAAGAGGAGTCGGACTAGTATAAGGTCCGGTCCCTTACGAGGACTACTATTACTAAGCTTTACCGAACCCTTAGAACCCTAGTTAGCTACCTAGAAAAGGACGACAAGTCTAATACCGACTAGGAGGTCTTTAAACAGGCCTTTATAAGGGAGTATTGGGATCGCGATAGCTGTCGTATTAAAGGCAGTCGTACGTAGCTTAAGAACCTCTATATAGAGAGGCGTACCGAAGATAACGACCTAAAGGAGTATATCCGCGAGTTTGTTAAGTTAGCGGACGGCATTAACTAGTAGGACCTCGAGAATTCTTAGAGAACGAGGTTGCTCCTTAAAGGGTTGCCGTAGTCTACGGCTAAGCGTGTCTTCCGTCGCTATAAGCTTAGCGAAGCTAATCCCGAGACCTTTAGGAAGTACAAAGAGGTCCTAGAGGCTGTTAAGGACGACATTAACAGCTCCGCCGATGCGAAGAAGTTCATTTACGGCGAGGATAGGAATAACCTAGCTTAGGTAAAGAGCGACGCCTCGGGAAGCAGAGGACCTAAGTTCCTTCCTAAGTCGTAGAGCGGTCCTAAGACCGTAACTCCTACTATTACTAAGTACTCTTAGGACGTTACGGACTTAGCTAAGTCCCTAGCCTAGCTCAACCTTAATACGAAAGTACTATAGCGAGTTAGGGAGGTTATTAATACTAGTATACTAAAGGATATACTACCGGTCTACTAGATTTCCGATCCTAACTACTCTAAGGCCCCTTTAGTTAACGTCTACGCTATACGAAAGATCTATTCTAACTTAGATAGTAAGTGCTAGATGTACGGCGGTTTTAAATATATTTAATTAGACTGCCCTATCTAGAAAGAGCTTCTTAAGAGGAAGCTCGTTATATAAGTAAATAGTCGGTTCTACTATACCGATACCGGCGATAAGATTAACTTCGAGTAGGATCGTAGAGCTCCGAAGCTGCCTTAACTTAGGAGTCTTCTAGAGAAGAAGTATAGTAGCAAGATCGAGTTTAAGGATACTAGGAACAGTACCCTCGCCGCTATTGCTAAACGAGAAACTTAGAAGGTTAGGGCAAAACAGGTTAAGGAGCGGAGTAGTAATAGTACTACTAAGCCTATTAAAGTCAACTTTGTGTCTTAGGACCCGGACGCAGTTACTAATGTTCACGCAGTTACTAAGAATAGTATAGATGTCTACGCTACTATAAGGTCCTAAACTTAGTCGTCCTAAACCTAGTCCTAGGGTAAGGGCAAGAGCCCGTAGAACCCTACCCGCCCTAGTACGGCAGCCCCTACTAGGATACTTAAGAAGCAGGTAGCTAATAAGGCTAAGAAACAGCGAGAATCAGTCGCTAAGACTAAGACACTCTAGACAGCTAAAGACCGTATAACCCGAGCTAGTATAGCTACTCCGGAGGTACTAGAGACTCCTGATATCGATATAGAGGATAATACTACCGACCTTAGTAGTACCCTAGGCCTAGCTAACCCGCCGGCCTATAAACGAAAGCTAGCCGACCTAAAGAGCTTTCGCTTTAATAGGTATATAAAGAAGTATAGTGCTAGGCCTACTAACTCTTACGATACAAAGGTAAATGCTCTCTTCTAGGCTTTATAGTTCCTAGACCTTAAGTCTAACGTGTCTATAGGGGAGCTTCTAGTATACGGTTTGCCTACTAACCTACCCTAGAGCCGGATTCCTAACGATGCTACCTTTATAAAAGACCTTATAGCCCTCCGACGTAAATAGGGGCGAGAGGACTATATCGACGTCTCTTCCCTATAGTTCCTTCCTAAATTTTTAGGGGCCTAGGAGTTAGTAGAAGGCGAATTAGTAACCTACGAGAGCTAGGAGACCATTAATAATGCTAACGAAGAGGGGATTAAGGAGATAGGCCGAGGGGATAATAATAATACTAGACCCCGCAGTGGTTCGGGTTGGTTTGGTTTGGTTTGCTAAGCCGAAACTCTAGTTTGGTTTAGGTTGGTTTGCTAAGCAACTATATAAGTAGCTGGTTCGAACTATATAATTTATCGGTTTTTAAGAAGTGTACGAATGTATACGTAGCTTCAAGCAAGCCCTTTGTAAGACTTAGCAGTGTAGCCGGCAGCGTAGCCGGCATTTTTAGTCCTTAGTACTTATAGAATTTTCGAATCCTACTTAGGCTACGTAGTTGTATAAAGGTACTTATATAACCTCAAATCTATAGACAATTAGCTAAGGGCACTAACCAATTAAAAGTATACATATACATACACAAGGCATTATAGTTTAGTTCGGAAACTGCACTCCTTAGGTATGAATTTCATCCTTTCGTTTACGGTTCAATTCCCTAACTGCTTAGTAGAATGTCTTTATCTAGATCTAGGCAGAACTCATCGATTTCCCTAGAAGTCCTCCTCCTTAAGAAGTTTATGCACTTTCCTACCGAACTATTCGATAACATTAAGTACTAGGATAGCTCCTCCCTCGGTATCGGTATAGTATATAAAAGAGCTATAAGGCAGCTCTGTAGAACGTTCTACTAGTCACTCGCTATACTAAGGCCGAATGCTAGTTCGTTCCTTAGAACTCTTAGTTATTTAGGAGATATAAAGGGTAGGGTAGGTAGTAACTTCGTATTATATAAGGAGGTAGAGGCTGCTATAGAAGAGGCCTTCAACCTGTAGAAGATAGTGAAAGATATAGAGGCAGCTACAGGTCTAGGTACCCAGTTGAATTTTTAGTAGGTAGAGTATAAGGATATTTAGAGGGAGTATTAGGTAGAGTTGCGAAGGCAGGTGTATAATATGCTCTAGAAAACAGGGATAGTGCCTATAACTATAACTATTAGGCTCTTCAACCTTCCTTATTTTTCCCTGTTTTCTTTTTATAAAAATCTAAACTAATACAAATCAACCGGAATGTCTATCTTCTTTTAGTTCTTTGAAAAACCTAGCAGCGTAGCTAGTAGCGTAGCCGGCAGCGTAGCCGGCAGCGTAGCCGGCCTTTTTACTCCTTAGTACTAACGGGATTTTGGGAGACTTCTATTCCGTACGGCCAATAAAGCATACTATACTATGTATATATGCTTAGAGAGTATTTAGAGCGCGGTATATAGCGCCGTATAACAGCGGCTCATTTCGTATATAGAAAAGCTTGTAGATAACACTACGAACATCCTTTCTACTAGAACATCTATCCTACTTAGCACCGTCTCGAATATAGACATTCTAGCCTTTTAGAATCTAATCGAGTGCTTTGAAATCCTTATCTATAATCGTTATACGCTTCGCGTAGATAGCTATAAGGTTGACCGCTAAAATAGTATTAGCATAGTCCGAAAAGAGGTAGAAGAGAAATATACATTCGAAGATACGAACTAGGTAGGCTTCTATAGCCTCTTAAAGGGCGCCTATCGCGGAGGCTTAGAAGCGAAGGTCCGTTCTATAATCCTAGGCAATTTCGCGAACAAGTCGTTAGAAAGGAGTTTTGCGGATTAGGAGCTAAGAACTCTTCTAATACTGCCGAATCTTACGGAGGGCTACGGCTAAAGAAGGATTAGTAAAAAGATAGTAAGAATGCCGGCTACGCTGCCGGCTACGCTGCCGGCTACGCTACCGGCTATAAATAGGACTTACTTCCTAGGCGCTATCGACGCTTCGTACGATTGCTACTAGTAGCAGAAGCGCTAGTTGTCGTCTTATATAGAGCCTTGCCCGCCGTTGTCTTACGCGGAGCCTTGCCCGCCGTTGTCTTACGCGGAGCCTTGCTCGCGACGCCCTTTCTAGCACCGGAGCTAGCGGCAGTAGTAGTAGCTATCTTACGTTAATGTACTATACTCGTTCTACTATTTCCGATCTTGTTGCGACCCGTAGAAGTAGTAGGTCCCTTCTTGTAAGGCGTCGTAACTTAGTTAAGTAGACTCGCTATTATAAAAGTCGTCGAATTGAGGAAAAAAGTGCGTTACGAAGGTGTACGAAGGCGCGCGCGGAGCGAGGGTATTGCGGAGGTAGTAGATATAGAGCGTAGAGGTATAGGTATCGATACGAAGGTTGAATATAGCGGTAGTATCGCGGTATCGCTAGGCAATAGAGTAAGCTTCGCGCAAGCCTATATTATAGTAACGTTAGAGCAAGGAAAGAAGGCAGGTACGGCTGAAAAAGGCAGGTACGGCTAAAAAAGGCAGGTACGGCAGACTTTGAAATATAGCCGGCATATATAGCCGGCATAGTAATAGGCGAAAGCCTCCTTTTAATGAATAGCCGGCGTGATAATAGTATCCTACTATAGTATAGATATTCTTTAGTAATGCCTTTACTAGCTATAGTAATCTTATAAGTAACCTAGGCCTATTGCTAGTAAATATAAGAAATATCAGGTAGGCTATACTAAACAAGCTAGTTATTTAGCAGGAAAAGGCCTACTACCGTCTCTATATGCCGGCTACGATAGCCGGCTACGAGTGCCGGCTATCGCTCTAAATTCAACTCCGCCCTATCTCGGAGGCTAAGGTACCGAGCGGAAACCCTATAGCTTATATTCACTCGGTTGTCGCGGAGCGCTTACAGGTAAGGTATTAGAAAAGAGTATAAAAAGTACGAGAAGAGTATCCTAGGATATAGGTCGTAAGTGAATAAGAGTAGCACGCCTAGTTATTTATATAGTACGTTACTCTATACGACTAAGAGCCTATATTATCTCGTGCTTCGCTTGTAAGACCTCGACTCTACTAATATACTATTATTCTCCTGCTCGGTCGCTATCTCAAATCTTCTTCGAGTTGCCGGACTTAGTGCGCATCTATAGCTATGTAATAGCGCTACGTATTATAGAGAATCAACTCCGCCGTATCTCGAAGGCTAAGGTACCGAGCGGAAATCCTATAGCTTATATTCACTCGGTTATCGCGGAGCGATTATAGGTAAGGTATTAGAAAAGAGTATAAAAAGTACGACAAGAGCATCCTAGGATATAGGTCGTAAGTGAATAAGAGTAGCACGCCTAGTTATTTATATAGTACGTTACTCTATACGACTAAGAGCCTATATTATCTTGTGCTTCGCTTATAAGACCTCGACTCTACTAGTATACTATCGATCTCCTCCTCGGTCGCTAATACGCTGTCTCAATTCTTCTTCGAGTTGCCGGACTTAGTGCGCATCTATAGCTATGCAATAGCGCTACGCATTATAGAGAATTTCTCGTTAAAGTTTCTCTCTCGCAGGCTTGCTATCTACCTCGTAGTATAGAGGATTAAAGTGCTAATGCTAAAGAATCTCCTTATAGTTAGGATGCTAGGGCTCCTTAGGACCTTTGTATTTTGGGTCTAAATAGAGACGTATTATAAACGTTCTATCGCCCTTTCGCTTACTACCCGCTAGGTCGCGATATACGAAGAAACTAATCTGAATATAGCTCGTCTCTATAAGAGCTAGGTGAATATAGAGCGCTAGGTTTCTACTTCGTACCTTAGATTTAGGGACGGCGCGGAGATAAAATTAGAAATGTAGCCGGCACCTATAGCCGGTAAAAGGATGCGAAAATGGGCCTCCTCCTAGGTTAATCTAACGACTAAATACAATTTCCAACTAATCCGCTATAAACCGACGCCGAATTTTAGCTAGAAGCTGTATATCTTTATTTTGAAGAGTAACCCGCTTCGTATAGATAGCAAGGAGGTTTAAAAGCTTAAGCTCGGTTACGAGAAATGCCTCCGTAGCTTCCTAAAGAGTACTAATCGCCTTAGCCGTAAATCGTATACTAGACCGAAAATCTAATGTAATTTCTCGGACGAGTCGCTAGAAGGGAGTCTTAGGGATTAAAAGCTCGGTCCCTCTTTTGTTTTAGAAAAGCCGGATCTAGCGAAGGGCAATAGTACCTAGTTTAAAGCGCCGCTTCTTTGTCGTCGAGTCCTGCCTTATTCCCTTTCTTTTAATAGAAAGATAACTTTTCTTCGCGACAGTCTTCGTCCGCCTACTCTTTTTAGCCTTCTCCTATCTACCTATAGCCTTCTTGTTTTTCGGTACTATTTTCCGAGGAACCCCCTTCTTTCGTATATACTACGGAGAGCCTTACTCTTCCGATATCTCGTTCTCGCTGCGGTCTCCCTATGCTTAGCTTGCTTTACCCTTACCCTTTAGCCTCTAAAGATATTTATCTACGCGTTTAGGCGACGAGGGCATATCGGTAGGACCTAGAAAATTAATAAGTATATAATCGTAGGGAGACATTAATGCTTCTTGCCTTCTAGAACAAATAGTCTTCTATTAAACCGCCTTATTAGGTCATCGTCAGATTCGAATAAAGGATAGTAGCTTAAGGAAGGGGAGGCAGCCGGCTTAGGAAGGCCCGAAGAGCCGAATCCTTAAGGCATATTTGTCTTTAAGAATATAGGGAAAGGGAAGAAGGAGAGGAAGAGCGAATAGAGAATTAGAAATAGTCCGTAGGTAAGCGGGGTCGGTTGCTATAGTAACTAGTCTGTTTGGGTCCTAGGAATTCGAAACACATTTCGGACATATGCCGGCTATATACGCCGGCTATATTACCTTATATGTAAACGCTTCGTCTCCTTAAAGCTGCTCTAAGCCTATATACGTTTCCGCTTCTCGACCCGGTATCGCCTTCTACCTCCGCCCTCCTCCTCTTCGTTATCGCTAATTAGGGTTTCGCTTAGACTAAATTTCGCATTCTCTTCGCGCTCCTAGGTTTCTTCGATCTTAAGGTTTTCTAATTCCTCGATTAACTCCTTTAGTATAATCTTTAGTAACCTACCTTAGCGATTCTAGTAGAGGAGATAGTATCGGAATACTATAATAGATTCGAAGGTAGTAGGCGAGTATATTCGATTAAAGCGGCCCTAGTAACGAGCGATACTAAAAGACCTCTTATAGCCTATGCCTACGCTCGGGATAGCGAGGACGTCCCGAGCGACCGACGCTATCGTTAGAAACTTAGGCTCTAACCGCTGCTATATAGCGAGAATATCGTCTCCGAATTCGTCTAGAAGACCGGTAAGATCTAGAGATTATTAGCCCTCTTTCCGAGCCTACGGGTTTGTACTTACTCGCGTGCCGATAGAGATCGAACTCTTCCTTATTCACTTTAGTAGTTGCTTCCTCTTCTGCCTCTACTTCCTACCTACGAAACAGGTATAATGTCGGAGCCTTCTAAACCTTCTTTTTCTTTATAGGAGCTGCATTTAGACTAGTTTCTTTCCGACGCTCGTAGAACATCTTTTCTAGAATAGTCTAGTAATGCTTCGGCTATACCTCGTCCGCCTTCTATTCCGGCCTCTGCTAGTATATATCCTTTTCTACCGGGTTAAGCA